GAGATCAGGTGGAGTAAAAATATTGATGGAAACCAAAATTTGCAGGAAATAGAACTAAATGTGTGTATGGTATATGGACCTATGATATAGTTCAGTGTTAGGAAATAAACCAAGTACAAGTAATTTCCCTATAACCAGATTAGTGAGAATGCGAAATAAAAGCGGAAAAATAATACCCGAAATTTGATAACGGAGTTCAGCCAATTTATGCTTACGTCTCCGGACTGCTGCAGATCTTTTACTAAGAGAAAATTTACAGGTGTTTACACAACACACTTGAGAGAGAACTAGAAGATTTTGGGATGATTTTGAAGCTAAATGAGCCAGGGTATTTATAGTTGAAACTTAGGGACTAATCTTTGTAAATACCCTAAAGTTCAATGACTAAAAAATGTAATTAATCCTATTACATTTTAATTAAACAATTTAGCAGCCCCCCACTTGTTTAATTAAGCCGCCGGCTGCTTTGCATTTTGACCAACAATCTCCCACTTGAAGACGGATTTTAATTTGTCTTCACACCTCGATCGATGCAGCAGTATTTCTGGTCTTTTATTCTAGCATGCCAACTGAAGCTGAACACAACTTCAGTTTGTCCGTTGTCACCGTCTTTGTCAACATGTCTGCTGGATTTTGAGCTCCACTGATCTTTTCAAGTTTCAAAATCCCATCTTCCAGAAGAGACCGGATAAAATGATATCGCAATTGTATGTGCTTCGTCCTGGAATGAAAAGACGGATTCTTCGCTAGATGGATAGCACTTTGACTGTCGCAATACAAGACATTGTTTTCTTGTTTCTTGCCTAACTCATTCAAGAAACTTTGGAGCCAGACCATCTCTTTGCTGGCTTCCGTAACAGCGACATATTCTGCTTCGGTTGTGGGAGAGAGCAACTATCTTCTGTAGTTGAGAAACCCAACTCACTACGGTTCCTCCTAGAGTATAGACATACCCTGTAGTGCTTCTTCTGATGTCAACATTTCCGGCTAAGTCAGCATCTACATAGCCTGTCAGTATCGTATCTCCACCTTTGAAACAAAGTGCTTTGTTTGTGGTACCTCGCAGATATCTGAGGATCCATTTGACTGCTTCCCAGTGTATTTTGCCTGGATTATTCATGTACCTGCTAACAGCTCCCACTGCTTGAGCAATATCTGGTCTGGTACAAACCATGGCATACATCAGACTTACAATTGCTGAGGCATACGGCACCTTCACCATGTGTGCACGTTCTTCCTCCGTCTTTGGTGACTGTTCTTTGGAGAGTCTGAAATGAACACCTAAAGGTGTATTTACTGGTTTAGCATCTTGCATGTTGAACCTGGAGAGTACTTTGTTGATGTACTCAGTCTGTGATAACATCAAAGTCCCCGACTTTGTGTCTCTCTTGATCCTCATCCCAAGAATCTGCTTTGCAGCGCCCAGATCCTTCATAGCAAACTGCTTCGACAATTTTTGCTTTAAGTGTATAATCTCTTGCATGTTTGAGCCTGCAACGAGCATGTCATCAACGTACAATAATAAAATAATGAAGCTGTTGTCGAACCTCTTGATGTAACAACAATGATCTGCTTGGCATCTGGTAAAACCACTACTACCCATGAAACTATCGAACTTCTTGTACCACTGTCTAGGAGCTTGTTTTAAACCATACAAGCTCTTCTTCAACCTGCATACCAGGTTTTTCTTGCCTGCCTCTATGAAGCCTTCTGGCTGCCTCATATAGATTTCTTCCTCCAAATCACCATGAAGGAAAGCTGTCTTTACATCTAACTGCTCAAGATGTAAATTTTCTGCAGCTACAATTTTCAACACCAGTCTGATTGTAGACAGTTTTACGACTGGAGAGAAAATTTCATTGTAGTCAATACCTTCTTTTTGCTGAAAGCCTTTGACAACCAATCTTGCTTTGTAACGTTTGCTCCCATCGTGCTCTTCTTTGATCCTGTAAATCCACTTGTTATGGAGCGCTTTCTTGCCTTGTGGTAATTCAGCTAATTCCCATGTCTGATTTGACATAAGCGAGTCCATCTCATCTTTCATGGAAGACTCCCACTTGACTGAATCCTCCACTTGCATTGCTTCATCATAGCACTCTGGTTCACCATTGTCAGTTAGCAACAAGTAGTGCAAAGAAGGTGAATACCGTTGGGTTGGTTTAGGAATTCTGGAGGAGCGTCTCAGTTCTGGTGTGCCTGGTTCTTCCTCTTGAACTGCTTCAGGACTGATTTGAACATCATTTTCAGAAATCTCCTCGAACTCAGCAAATTCCTTTGTTTCAGCCTCGGTATTACTTGATTCTGCGGTTGACCTGTCTTTGTACATCACATTTTCATTGAAAATGACGTCTCTGCTTCTGATGATCTTTCGATTTTCGTAGTCCCAAAACCGGTAACCGAACTCATCACCGCCATAACCAACAAAGACACATTTTTTGGACTTAGCATCAAGTTTACTTCTTTCAGCAGAGTCTATGTGTACATAAGAAATACAACCAAACACTCTTAAGTATGAAAGGTTTATTTCTTTCTTGCTCCAAGCTTCCTCTGGTATTCCGCCATCCAAAGGAACAGAGGGCCCACGGTTGATCAGGTAAGCTGCAGTGTTGATAGCTTCAGCCCATAGAAATTTGGGCAATCCGGCATGTATCCTCATGCTTCTAGCACGTTCATTCAGAGTTCTGTTCATGCGCTCTGCTACGCCATTCTGCTGCGGTGTTATGGGAACTGTTTTCTCCATCTTAATCCCATTGTTTGCGCAGAAATCTCTGAATCTACTGTCTCTGTACTCTCCTCCATTGTCAGACCTCAACCTCTTGACTTTCAAACCAGTCTCATTTTCCACCATGGCCTTCCATTTTCTGAAGGTATCAAAGACTTCTGATTTCTTCTTCAGAAAATAAACCCACACCTTCCTTGTTGAATCATCGATGAAGGTGACATAATATAGTGAGCCTGCAAGAGATGGAACTGGGGATGGTCCCCATACATCAGTATGAATCAATTCTAACCTTTCTGCCTTGGGTGCCTTGCCAATCTTTGCAAAACTGACTTTCTTTTGTTTTCCAAAGATGCAATCCTCGCATAGTCCGACATCCACATTCTTTAGATCCGGCAGCTTCCCTTTTGACAGAAGTATCTTCATTCCTTTCTCGCTCATATGGCCAAGCCTTTGGTGCCATAGGTTTGATTTTCCATCAGCATCTGCTACTGCAATGATATTCTCTAAATTTGAGGTTACATAGAGAGTACCAGTCTTCTTACCACGAGCAATGACGAGTGCTCCTTTGGTAATCTTCCATTCACAACCTGAAAAGGTTGTACTATATCCTTCTCCATCAAGCTGTCCAACAGAAATCAGATTTCTTTTGAGGCCAGGAATATGTCTCACTCCTGTCAGCTTCCAGGTGGTCTGGTTTGGCAGCTTTAGTCGGATATCTCCTTTTCTGACGATCTTCAAGGTTTCATCATCAGCAAGATGAACCTTCCCAAAATCACCACTGACATAGTTCTCCATGATTTCTTGGCATGACGTGGAGTGGAAAGATGCCCCTGAATCCAAGATCCATGATTCAATCGGACTGTTGACGCTTAGAATCATGGCATCACCTGTCTCCTCTGTCACGTTGGCAGATTCCTGTGCACCGGTATCTTTCTTCAGTGCTCGGCAATCTCTTTTAAAGTGACCTTTCTTGCCACAATTATAACAGGTAAAATCTTTCTTTCCCGTTCTGGATTTTTCCCGTCTGGATTTGGATCTGCCACGATTTGAATTTCTTTCTGAAGTTCTCCCTCTGGACTCCGTGTGCAAGGCTGAGGAGGTTGATGCTTCACCCGATTCTCTCCGTCGAATTTCTTCGCTCAGTACCAGATCCCGAACATCGTCGAATTTCAATTTACTATTTCCCGACGAGCTGCTAACTGCTGTAACAGTAGCATTCCAACTGTCTGGTAGAGATGATAAGAGAATTAAAGCTCGAACTTCATCATCGAATTCAATTTCCACAGAACTCAACTGGGTTGTGATTGTGTTGAGTTCATTCAGGTGTTGAGCCACTGATGCCCCTTCCGTCATCCGCAAATTGAATAATCGCCTCATCAAGTGAACTTTGTTTGAGGCCGATGGCTTCTCATACATACTGGAGAGAGCTGCCATAAGACCTGTCGTGGTCTTTTCCTTTGCTATGTTGAAAGCAACATTTCGGGACAACGTCAGTCGGATAACTCCGAGGGCTTGTCTGTCGAGAAGAGCCCAGTCTTCATTCTTCATGCCCTCTGGTTGCTTTCCTGAAAGAGGTTGATATAGATTTTTCTGATACAGAAAATCTTCAATCTGCATCTTCCAAAAGCCAAAGTCCGCACCATCGAACTTTTCAATTTTCACCTTCCCTTCGTCTGCAGCCATCGCTCCCACTCGAATCTGGCTTCGTTTGGATCGTTTCTGACAATTTCTGCGAACCGCCGTGTATTAGAACACCTCCGTCGACAAACTCGTATCGCCGACCGAATTTCACTATTCACGAAATTCACTATTCACGTGAATAGTAATGAATAGTATCTCGTAGAAAATTGACAAAATTCACAACCAAAAGCTCTGATTACCAGTTGTTAGGAAATAAACCAAGTACAAGTAATTTCCCTATAACCAGATTAGTGAGAATGCGAAATAAAAGCGGAAAAATAATACCCGAAATTTGATAACGGAGTTCAGCCAATTTATGCTTACGTCTCCGGACTGCTGCAGATCTTTTACTAAGAGAAAATTTACAGGTGTTTACACAACACACTTGAGAGAGAACTAGAAGATTTTGGGATGATTTTGAAGCTAAATGAGCCAGGGTATTTATAGTTGAAACTTAGGGACTAATCTTTGTAAATACCCTAAAGTTCAATGACTAAAAAATGTAATTAATCCTATTACATTTTAATTAAACAATTTAGCAGCCCCCCACTTGTTTAATTAAGCCGCCGGCTGCTTTGCATTTTGACCAACATTCAGGCTATCGCAACAGCAGCAGAAAGCTTGGCGACTCGACATCCTCACATCCTACATCAAGAAACCAGATTGAGTATGAACTTCACCACCATCCTTACCTCTCAAAGTGGTTTCCTACTTATGAAAGAGATGTTGCAGAGTAGATTCCAAGGCATAAGTGGTGCCTTTCGACTAACCGATGGCAGGCTGATCCAAAAGGAATTCGAGATCGTAAACGTATTCAGGGGAGAAAGAACAATTGGTTATTGGAATCCAGAAAACGGGATTACCTCAATACTGAAGGAAGAAAACCATATTGAAACCAAACTGACATCATCTAGTAAGCTTGAAAGTGTTATTTGGCATGGAGGAACCAAGGCCATTCCAAAAGGTTTGTTTCTACATGGCAAGAGGTTGAGGATTGCGGTTCCAGTAAAGATTGGATTCCAAGAATTAATTAGAGTGATTCGTGATCCCCAAACAAATGAAACAACTGTAACTGGATTCTGTGCTGATGTGTTTAAGGAAGCCATTAAAAGTTTGGATTATGAAGTAAATCACGAGTTTATCCCGTCTGTTAATGTCGACGGAGGACAGTCTATAATTTACGACGAGCTTATCCTGGGGGTTTATCAGAAGGTAAGAAACCAACTGCTACATCTAGAAACTTGAATTTATGGGCTTATAGCCCTTATATATGCATGTATACGTTCCTGTTCTTGAATGTGATATTTACATGTTCTTTCTGTGATCAATGGACTAGAATTTCGATGCTGTTGTGGGGGATATAACAATCCTTGCCAGCAGATTTCCGTACGTCGATTTCACACAGCCGTTCACCGATTTAGGCATCGGAGTCGTAGTGCCGAAAATCAACAACAACAGCATCTGGATTTTCCTGAAGCCTCTTTCGGTAGATTTGTGGATAACAACTGCTGCTTTTTTCATATTCACTGGCATTGTGGTTTGGCTTATCGAGCATAGCATCAACGATGAGTTCCAAGGCTCACCATCTGAGCAAATCGGAACCGTCTTTTGGTACTCATTCTCAACTCTAGTATTTGCCCACAGTAAGTACTCTATCATGTTCAACTTAGATAACTTAGTTAAATGTAAATTTTTATAACTGTGTACTCAAAACTGCAGAGGAGAAGCTGTTGAGCAACTTGTCAAAGTTTGTGGTGATAGTATGGGTGTTTGCTGTGCTTATAATAACCTCAAGCTACACTGCAACTTTGACTTCCATGTTAACAGTCCAGCAGATTCAATCGAGCTCAAGAAACGCCGGTGTAGGTACCAGTGCTGATTTTTTGCTTTTAAGAGGTGTTAACAAATCCACATATGAAAATCCCGCGATCAAGCCATACCATAAGCCAGAAGAATATGCAGATGCTTTGACAAGGGGAAGCAAGAACGGCGGTGTGTCGGCCATTATTGATGAAATACCATACCTTCAAATATTCCTTGCTAAGTACCCTTCCGATTACACCATGACCAAATCCATGGCTAAAACAGGCGGTTTTGGTTTCGTAAGATCCCTCTAATCCGTCATGATCTTCATCTTTCATCGATTTGCAGCAATGGTGCTGATTCATTTTTGCATGTTATTGAATCCGTAGGCTTTCCCTAAAGGTTCCCCACTTGTCCAAGACATGTCGAGTGCAATTTTGAGGCTAAGGGAGGAAGGAAAGCTGAAGATGATGGAGGATAAATGGTTTAACAGTACCGAGCCAATCTTATCAAACCAAGACTCAGCAAGTACTGTCACCAGCAGACTAAGCGTTCATAGCTTTGGGGGTTTATTTCTTGTGACCGCCGTCTCTTCCTCCGCAGCTCTGCTTGTATGCCTCTTTCAGAAACGAAGATCCATCTCGGTCAGCAACTTCAAATCCTACCTCAACTGTGGTATAGACTCTGTAAAAGGCTACTTCAGGTCTTCAAGGTGAAAATATTTGGAAGATGAAAAATCCGACCTACGTTGATGATAATGTTCCACCTGAAATCTTTTAGAATTCGATTTATTTTTTAATTTCGAAGTTTTTTACATTAATACATTTGTGTTCAACCTGAATTTCTATGATGTCTACTCTAAAATTTAATCGTATAAAAAAATTTATATTATCACTATAAGTGTACCCATCCTTAAAAAATTTCTGAATCTGTCACGTATTAATATAGCTCTAACGTATTACTCCACATATCACTCTATTATTACAGTTATAGTTTCCGATATAAAAATAAGAGTAATATTTATATTTGAGTTAACTACTTCAAATATCACCAACCTTTAAGCACTGGCTCGTTTATACAATTAATATTTTAATTTTGTCAATTTTAATACTAACATTACTTTTAAGTGCAATTATAACACTCTGTCTTTAATGATTTAACGACATGATGACATGGAAATAGCATGTCGTGACGTCGCTGACGTGGATGCCTTATCTAAATGACGCCGTTTTGACGTTTTTATTTTAGTGTTTAAAAGACCCAAAATGATGTCGTTTTGCTTGAATCCTAATTTTCTTAGGGACTAAACTCAAATTTTCCCATTATTTTTTCTCTCTTTTTCCTCCTCATCTGCATCTTCTTTTCTGTGGTTTTCTAGGCAACCAAACAGATTTCATGGAGGAAACTGTGCGTTAGTACGATGTCATTCTTCGCCAAACGAAGCTTCCTTTTTATGTCACAAATTTCGAACACGCCTATCTATGTCAAATAACCAAAAGTGAAAAAAAATCTATACAAACGCCATGCCATTTGATATGAAGTTTACCAGAGGTGCAAGAGCTGTGGCTAAAAGACCAAGGAGAAGCGCTTCAAATAAAATAAAATGGTAAAATTCAATTGGTATAAATTAGCATTGGGCTAAAGCTTTTGCCTCGATTTGAATAGATCATCGAATAGGATTTTATTTTCGGACTCACACCGATTAGAGTCTATATAGCCCAACCCCTATAATTTGTTTTTTTCTGAAATGAATTGAGAACCTAAAATCAATTTTCAGATCTCAACTCTTTGTGAGTTAATAGTGTCAATCGCTTATTAATTCAACGCTTTTGAATTCTGGAAAAACTCAACTCAGATTCTATCGTCTCAATTGAGAATCTAACCCGATTTCAGTTTCCCTTAACGGACCGCCGCTAAGTGTGTTCACAGGAAGTCAGATTCTACTGTCTCAATTGAGAATCTAACCCGATTTCAGTTTCCCTTAGCGGACCACCACTAAGTGTGTTCACAGGAAGTCGAATGCGTCACAGGCCAATCCTTCCTCCCAACTATTAATCGAAACCGAAATTCAATTCCAAAGTGCACTTTTTTTAAATGAAATCGCTTTGATTGTAAAAGGATGGTCAACTACTGATCTTTGATTTATGAAAACTGAAAATGTAACCCTCGAGGGTATGAAGCGCTTTTCGATTATTACGACTTAGAATCGAGTCATTGCTCTAGCCCTTGGCAATAGAAAACTTAGCTAAGCATGGTAGAAATAATATTTAGCATTTTGAAAGAAAAATAAAGTAACTTGAAAAATAAAAAAAAATAAAAATTTTTATAAATCTAAAGAAAAAAAATAAATAAGAGAGTTTGAATGCTTAAGTGATGAGTTGAATCTGCTTTGAGGCTTATCTCAATGAGGTATTTATAGTCCTCAAAAACCCTAGAAAATAATATTCAAAACAAAATATAATTCCTAAAAATAAAAAAAAGATAAATCATAATTTAAAATAAAAAATTCGGCTAAGTGTCTTTCTCCACGCCACTGTTGATTGTATCTTCTAGAAGCTACTGACTGAGCCTTCTAGAAGCTACTGATTGAGCCTTTTAGAAGATGTTGACTGAGTGCCACGGCACCTACCACATCATCACCACATCTGTTACCACATCAGCCGTTAACTAGATGCCATGTCGGGTGTGTCATGTCCCAAGGCGTGCCCATTAATCCGACCATGAATACAGAAAAAATAAAAAATTGCACGATTTTATTGTTCTTAGCATAATTTCTAGAATTCAATGTCCTGCATCGAAAATAAATGAAAAGACACAAGTTAACAACTAAAATTATCTAATAAATGAGTAATTAATCATAATATAATGTATAATTTAAACATTAATCAACCGCCTTTGCATCTTCCATGGCTACGTAGTCCATGGAATGTATCATTTTGCCGTGAAATGCTTCGGGACCCTTGTTCGGAGGGAATTTTGGGATATTTGGCACACCACTGAACCCTTGTTCGAAGTGCTTTGCATAAGCCTTAACATAATTGAAGACCTTGTGTTTGTCGGGAAAATATGTTTGGTTGTCAAGAAAACTATGGAAAAAGAGATGCAGGTGAGGAGAAGGAAGAGAAAAAAATAATAGGAAAAATTTGAGTTTAACTAAGAAAAGTAGGGATCAAGCAAAACGACCATCATTTTGGGTCTTTTACACATTAAAATAAAAATGTCAAAACAATATTTAAAAAAATAAAATCTTAACATATTATATTTTTGAATTGCTCACAAATTTTTTAAGTCAAATAATAAGTAGTTCGTTTCAACTTATTAAATACTTGAATTAAAATCATTCAAATAGAGTATTTATTAAATTTTGACCGAACGAATATGAGAAATTCATTATATATCTTATCTCATTTACGACCCTAAAAATGATAGTGAAAAACAACGGTGTCTGTCGGCGGGAAGAGCCAACGAGACAGAAGGCAAGGTTTGTTTTCACTTTAACCCCACGCGCACTTCTAGAGGGTGACATTTACCACATAGAAATAGAATCCAGACCAACATTCCAATTCACTCTCTTTTAATAGCGTGTTGAAAAAGTATATAATCTGAAAAATCATTGTCACATGAAATTATGTTGTGCGACACTTAGAAAACTGGTTAAATAAATAATTGGTTAAAATGTAGATTGATTATGTTATATTATTTAATTAAAAATATTATCAAATGTAATAACATATTAGGTAGTGATTATATAATAAAATATGTTAATTATTTAATTTGTTATTACAACATATTAGGTAAACGTCTAAAATGTTACCAATGATAACATAATCGGTTAATTACTAGAAACATTATCAAACACAATAACATATTACGTAGCGCTTATATAACGTAATAGGTAGCGCTTATATAATAAAATAGGTTAATTATTTAATTTGTTATTACAACATATTAGGTAAATGCCTAAAATGTTACCAATGATAACATAATCGGTTAATTACTAGAAATATTATCAAACACGATAACATATTAGGTAGCGCTTATATAATAAAATAGGTTAATTACTTAATTTGTTATTACAACATATTAGGTAACACATAAAATGTTACCAATGATAATATAAGCGGTTAATAACAAGAAACATTATTAAGCATAATAACATATTAGATAGCGCTTATGTAACAAAATAGGTAATTACTTACTTAATTTGTTATCACTTATGATAAACTTACCTTAGGAATAAATGTTAACAAAATTTAAACTACCAATTACATTAAAATACCTACCGGTTTTTTTTAAGGTTATTAATAATATAAACGGTAAAAAAAATAGGCGCTACCTATTACATTAAAATACCTACCGATTTTTTTGAAGGTTGTTAATAATGTAAACGGTAAAAAAATAGTGCTACCTATTACATTAAAATACCTACCGTTTTTTTAAGGTTGCTAATAATGTAAACGGTAAAAAAAATACGCGCTACATATTACATTAAACTACCTACCGAATATGTTGAAAGTATCGATTCCATTTAAATAAGTATCGACACTTTTGGAATTTAAAAGAAAAGCAGTAATAGCGCCTATAAAGTATCGATACTTTATAAAAATGTATCGATACTTTACAATATAATATGTAAAAATATGACAAAACTAATTTCATTATGACAAAACTGGTAAATAGTTACATAATATGTTGAAAGTATCGATACTTTATAAAAATGTATCGATACTTTACAATATAACATGTAAAAATATTATAAAACCAATTTCATTATGACAAAACCGGTAAAGAGCTACATGATATGTTGAAAGTATCGATACTTTATAAAAATGTATCGATACTTTACAATATAACAGGTAAAAATATGACAAAACCTGTTTTATTATGACAAAACCGGTAAAGAGCTACATGATATGTTGAAAGTATCGATATTTTATAAAAATGTATCTATACTTTACAATATAATAGGTAAAAGTATGAAAAAATCAGTTTCATTATGACAAAACCGGTAAAGAGCTACCTGATATGTTGAAAGTATCGATATTTTTTTATAAAAATGTATCGATACTTTACAATATAACATGTAAAAATATGACAAAACCATTTTCATTATGACAAAACCGGTAAAGAACTACCTGATATGTTGAAAGTATAGATACTTTTTGTACATGTATCGATACTTTATTGAAAATTATGTAATTTATGTTTCAAAATTTTTTAATAGTGCTTCATGTTTTCCACCTACAATATTAATTTAATAATTTCATTTACACAAAAAATTATTTAATTGTTTAGATATTTATAAAATATTATTTAGAATTTAAATTTAATAATTTTAACCAAAGATAATAATAAATATGTAATATCTATGTTTATTATTTTAATTTAATAATAATATATACCGTAACATAAAAATAAATCATTAGATGCGTATAATTACTAAATTAATATCTTAAAACTCACTCAAAAGATAACCTTAAATTAATGTTTTCCATAGTAAAATAAGTATGGACACTTACATATATGTATAGATACTTATCGATAATCAAAGTTTACCGGTTATCAAATTTTTTAATAATTTTTCATGTTTTCTACTTAAAACATTATTAGTCTGTCAACATAATAGGTAACGTTAAACCGAATTTATTAAATATCTTTTAATGTATCCGAAAACGCCGTATATTAATCATATATTCGAGGAAGGAAATTCTCTTGCAGAATCATTGTCCTCATAAATGAGGATAACACTTCTCCACCTGAATTCTTCAACAATGGTAGCAATGCCTTTGGCTTGAGAGGACTCGTCTTCACCAATTCGAATCCAGTAAGGATGCTGGGAGAAGGAGAGTGATGGTGCAGCTGCAAAGAGGGAAATAATTGGGATCTTGACCCTTGATCCAAGCCCTGCTAAAATCTTCACTCCACCTGAACTTTCTGCAACGATAAGGGCATCCAATTCGGCACTTTGCAGGAGAGACAAGGCTGCCATTCAATAGTGAATCTTTGAGGACCCCTTCATAAAAAGGAGAAAATCTTCCTTATCAAAAACCAAAACAGTACCTTGGGATAAAACAAGGAAAGGATCACCGTGGGAATCTCTGGTATGCACAACTAATTTGAACCGATAATGATTGTTTCGAAGGTAAAGATCGGATAGAGCCATTGAAATGCAGCTATCAACTATTTTTCCCATCCAGGATTGCGTATCAACAATGAACCCAACATGAACTTTCCTTTATACGGTGCCGTTACCATTGGCTGACGATGGCTGAAGGTTAAGCAAAGTTATAACAAAAACCAAAGTCCACTTGAAATCCATGATTCCCAAAACCAGTTTCCTAAAACCTTAGTTAATTATTGAACCAAAGAAGAAGAAGAGGAAAAGCTTAGTTAATTTTATTTTTCGTTAACGACAAATTTGAACAACTGGTACATAGATTAAAGTTGACAAAGGAATATATCGTTATCTTAAAATTCTCCATAGATTCAAATATCGATGAACTATATATGCTTAAAGAGGACCTAATTTGCAGGTGAAAACATGTGAGACACTGAATATATTAACTTGGATCGAAATGAAAGGGACTTTGGGACATATTTTAACCATTATTTTAACCAATGGATGTCTCTCACGTGCGCTGGAATCGACATAAAAAGCTCATCTGGATCCAAGATAAAACGCTTTAGTTCATATCAGATGCAAGTTCAATATAATTTACTTTCATGTCCGAATCAAACTGTGAGATCCTTATTTTGAGACAAGGGCGTCATAATGGATGCAGGATACGTGAAACATTCAACATGGATAGACCTATTGCTTCAACCAACCTAAGCTACCACTAATAATATCAGTGATTGATTGAAGGAGGCCTTCGAATCTTAGTAGCTTGCTCGAAGCCATAAGCTATCTCGATCAGGGTTGGCTCCGAGCCCTTTAATCCACCGAAACAAAGGCCGAACGGCACCCCATCGCTTCCATATCCGGCCGGCACAATAATACCCGGGTGTTGACCCGTTGCAAGCATTGGCGAAGCTAATGAAAATGGTGATAACAAGGCGTCCAGCTTGTTTTCCTTCATTAATTTCTTGAAACCGTATCTAGACATCTTTGCTAATTTTAGTATGGCAGCCTTCTCTTTTTTGCCTATGCCATTGGTTGCTTCTGCATCAAGGAAATACTCTTGACCATATTCCTTGGTTTTTTCCTGCATTGTTCCCAAAACCCAAACATCAAATATTTTCGTATGCTCGAATGGTCCGACGATCATATCCATTCAATATGCAACTCGAAATACTCACCAGTTTTGCAAATTTGTTGTTGAAAGCAATGAGATCTCTCAAGGATCGTACCGGAGATGCCACAAGTTCTTTTAGGTAAGAATTTATGGCCAATTTGAACTCGGCTGTCATTGCGAGATTTTCATAGTCTGTGTCGGTGTTATATGCACCCAAATACTTGGATGCATTAACGTTTTCAACCAAAACTGCACCTCTTTTCCTTAAAATGGTGAAATGGCGCTCGAAAGCTTTAGCATAAACAGGTCCATTGCCAAAATTGAAGAATTCATTCCTGAATAAGCCCAATCTTTTACCTCTGAGACCATCCATCTTCAGAAATTGCTTGTAGCCGCCTCGTGGAATGTACTTTGATGCTTCAACTGTTGCATTATCATTAGAATCTGAGCCTGCAATGGCATCCAGGACGTACACGGCATCGGTCACTGTTCTACACATGGGCCTGTTTCAATTCAACACAACATGAGACAGTTTCATTACAGCTAACGTTTTCTTGATCGACATAATTAATAAGCACATTACCCGACGGTGTCCTGTCTGGGAGTGATGGGGATGACTCCGGCTCGGCTGGTGAGACCAACGGTGGGTTTGATGCCGACAACGGCGTTATTGTTAGATGGACAGAGGATCGAGCCATCGGTCTCGGTCCCGAGTGTTACTGCTGCCAGATTCGAGGCTACTGCTATGGCTGATCCACTACTTGACCCGCATGGATCTTGTGAAATATTGTAAGGATTCTGAATGACAAAGAAAAGAGTGTTATAAGTTATAACCATTCATTTGTATGAAAAGAAAGTTGGACTTTTATTTTATACCTCACCTTTCCTTGTCCAGTCCGAGCACACCAGCCACTGGGTGCAGAATAGCCTCTGAAGTGAGCCCACTCACTCAAGCTAGCCTTTCCGAGAATTATAGCCCCGGCTTTCCTCAGTTTCGATACGACGCCTGCATCTCGAGGAACAACGGATCTTAGCAGCGCAAGCGAACCGGCAGTAGTGTTCATTCTATCCTTGGTTGCGATGTTGTCCTTGAGAAGAACAGGGATTCCATGCAGGACACCTAATGACCCTGCTGCTTTAGCCTTTCGTTCCCGGTCGGCCTTATCGGCTTGAGACCGAGCGTCGGGGTTAACCTCGACGACCGCTTTGAGGAGCGGGTTGAGTCTATGGATCTCCCCGATGTAAAACTCAACGAGTTGCCTTGAGGTGAGTTGTTTTCTCCGGAAAGCGAGTTGGAGATCCTGCACAGTTGCTTCTTTGATTGAGAATGATGACACATGGGGTTGAAGAAACAGAAACATAAATGCTAAAAACAGTGGAAAGCTTAGCGGAGATGATTTCGTAGACGCCATTGAATCAGAGTTTCTCGAGTTAATGGAAGCTGGCACAAGTATAAATTGGAATATTGGATTTTTATAATAATTGAAATGACAAAAACCAAGAAATCCACTCAAATGGGAGCAGAAGCTTGGTGGGAGACCCTGGAAAGTCATTGTTCATAGACTCATCATAAGTCCATATACTTTATCAAATTTTTGTATTAGTCCCTATATTATGTGTAAGCTATATATTTAGTTTCTAAGTTTTTTTATTCCACATACCTTTTCAATTTTAAAATTTTAGTCCTTAACTGAACAATATCCCTTGTATTAATAAGGATGACAATTTAACTCAAAATAGACGGGTTTTGACCCCATAAGATCAATTTTAAAAAAAAAATCGGGTTCGGATCGAATTGTATATAAGATGAGATTGGGTTGGGTTCGGGTGGAGGGTGAAAACCTCCGACTCGACCCGAGGGTAATAGAGTAAATTTTCATATAAATTTATGGATAATTGCTATAATATCCCCTCTATCTAATTTTTTATTAGGTCCTTATTTTATGTTGGATCGGGTCGGCTTTATATTCCAATAAATGAGGTTCGGACATAGTATATATATTTTTCAGGTCAGACTGGGTTTGAGTGGAGGGTATATATTTTTCAAATCAGGTCAGGTTCAGATAGAATGTGTATATTTTTCGGATCAGGTTCAAATAGAAGGTATAATTTATCATAATACAAATACTAATGTAGACTTGACTTGTATAATTTCATAATCTCATTTTTCCCTTTTGGTATAACTGTTTGATCATAGTATCAATTAGGGATGACAGTTTAACTCGAATTTATTAAGTTGCAATCTTATTTGACTTGATAGTATTGATTTTCTTAAAATTAAATTTAAGTCAGATTAAGTTTTGCAAAAGGGTGAAGATGAATTGGGTCGAGTTTAGGTTTAAGAAAAAAAATTAACTTGACTAGATTTGGACTGATAGTATAATTTTCTTATATATATTTAGATATAATTATTATAATATTACTCTCTATAACTTTTTTTAATTAAGTCCCTATTTGTCAAATAAAATTAAGATTTTTTTTATATTCATTTCGGGTCATATGCACATTTTTATCTTAAACTTTGAATCAAATTTTGATTCAAATAAAACCTCTCTAAACTTGGATCAAATCAAATTCCGATGAAAGGTATGTTTCTCGAATCGACTCGGATTAATTGAAAACCCGATCCATCGCCATCCTTAGTATCAATCACCATTACCTCTGTCATCGAACTTACTTAATGAATCATGGATGCTCTGCAACTGCAACTGCAACTGCAATCTTCTTCAGTCTATTTATTTTCTAAAATCCATTCCACAATGAAAGCTGACGTTGCCTTCTAAACAATATTATGCATTTTTTCTGCATAATTTGTCTAAGCAAGTAATGAAAGATGACATGTGAATTTGTGTTACTGGGTACAATTTTTTTTATATTGGGACTATTTATGAATTATAGCAACTTTCATAAATTTATGAATAACCTAATTATTTTTGAAACACTATGTTTTTAAAGTTAACAACTTTCATATAGCCCACTAAACGGACCGAGCGTTCAGCAAACGATTCACGAATCGTTCAGCGGGAAGTTCGTTTGTATTTGTTTGTTTATTAAACGAATGAATATTAACAAGATTCTCTGTTCGTTTAATTAAATGAATGAACACAAACAAATGACTCGTTCGTTCATTTACGTCCGTGAACGTTCGATAATTTGTTCATTTACGTTCGTGAATGTTCGATAATTTGTTCATTTATATTCGTTATTCCATTCGTTTATGTTCGTTTACGTTTGATAATTCATTCATTTATGTTCGGTAATCCATACATTTATGTTCGTTTACGTTTGATAATTCATGTTCGTTCATTTGTTAGGCTAAAATTAAACGAAGGAATATAAATGTATCATCGTTTGTGTTCATTCAGTTTGATTACGGGCCTAGTTTGATAGATTCATGCGCTAATCTCTTTACCTTGAGGTCGTGAGATCAAGTCTCACGGAGGGCATTTCATAATTCGAAGGTCTTCTACGGAAGCTGCTCTCAACCTGGTGTTGGGGGCAGTCTACTATCTTACCTCCCCCTTATCCCATTACATATGGGAACAAGGGACATCCATTTATGCGCTAATCTCTTTAAATTGAGAAGGAAAAACTACAATTAAAAAGAAAATGATAAATTGAGTTAAAAATACTATATAAAAAAATACTTTTGAGGTTTTTTAGTGTTCTGCCGTTACCAATAAGATAAAATGTTTGAAAAATACATCATTTTGAATTTAAAAATTCAAAGACTAAACTGAATGAAATTGTTAAATTGAGGATTAAAGATTACTTTATTCTCTTTCGTCTACAATGGCTGGGTGGGTGGGACCAGTTTAAGGAGAGGTAATTTGTTGGCCACTCATCATGCTAAAATATCATGGTCATTTCTCAACTACTTTATTTAAAAACGTGGGAAGATGCAATAATACACTTTTTCTTTTCTTTCTTTATTTTTAATGATTTCTTTTTGAAAATCAATACCCTGAAAATTTAAGGAAAAGTGGGAATATTAATCTGAATGCTTTTATTTCATACTTTTCATAAATCAAATATATTTATTTGATTTGTTTTGACACTTTTACAATATATAAAATTGGAATTCAACTAAAAGTATGTTCTATTTTCTTTTGAAAGTATCGGGTTTAAGTAGTTACGTTTGTAGAGTGTATATACATTATCAATGAATAAAAAAAAGAGAAAATAATTTCAGTGACCGAAAATGTCTTATAATATACGATTTTAACCAACTTTTTTTGGATTTGCGAAAATGACCAACAAATTCGCAACGCAAACTCTAATTTCGCAACACAGGTTCCAAAATCGCAACGCGAATAGGTAAATCGCAACGCTAATTACCGATATAGGTAAACAGTACTATCGCAAAGCGAATAGGAAAATCGCAACGCGATTTTCAAATTCGCAACGCTAATTACAGACATAGGTTAACACTACTATCGTAACGCGATTTTTAAATTCGCAACGTTATTTTCACAAATTGAATTCGCCAATTTCGCAACTTAATTACCGACATAGGTAAACACAGTAGAAAAATCCAAACAAAAATCCGAATTCATCAATTTGAAAACTGAGTTGCAAATTTGACAAATTCGTGTTGTGAAATGTAAAATCTCGCCTCTTAAAGAAAAAATCATTTCGACAGTTCGTTTGTTTGGTTAAAGTTAAACGAACGAACGAACATGAACATACCCTCGATCGTGTTTGTTCAATTCATTTACCAAATTCGCAAGTCAGTTTTCAAATTGTCGAATTCGGATTTTTTTACCGGATTTTTTCTACCGTTTTATCTATATCGGTAATTGAGTTGCGAAATTGACGAATTCAATTTGTGAAAATAACGTTGTGAATTTAAAAATCGCGTTGCGATAGTAGTGTTTACCTATATCGGTAATTAGCGTTGCGATTTTCCTATTCGCGTTGCGATAGTACTGTTTACCTATATCGGTAATTCGTGTTGCGATTTTGGAACCTGTGTTGCGAAATTGGAGTTCGCGTTGCGATAGTATTGTTTACTTATATCGGTAATTAGCGTTGCGAATTTGGAAATCGCATTGCGATTTTACTATTCGCGTTGCGATTTTGGAACCTGTGTTGCGAAATTGGAGTTCACATTGCGAATTTGAGATCGCGTTGCGAATTTGTTGGTCATTTTTGCAAATCCAAAAAAAGTTGGTTAAAATCGTATATTATAAGGCATTTTCGGTCACTGAAGTTATTTTCTCTAAAAAAAATCTATGAATAAATACCATCTGATAATCCCCATGACTATAAAAGGGTAAATTGTACAGACTATCTCTTATATTTCGGTCCGTCCGATTTTGGTCATCGGTCTAAAAAAAGTAATTTTGATACCTTATGTTATCAATCCGTTTGATTTTATTCCTTCAGCTGCTAACTGCCGTTAACCCGTTAACAGAAGTCTGCGTTGGTAATTAAAAGGTAAAAAATAATCGACGTGTTTTCTTCTAGTTCAGTGGTCAATTAGAATCATCTCCTAAGATCTACATATTTCCACCATTTATCAAGATGTTATCGTATAAGTATTGGAACACAAGATACTAAGTATTCAAAGACTCTCCTTTCTACCTGCATCCCATAGTTGATTTGAATTTAAACCTTCTTTTTTTCTTCCTGTTTTGAATTCACTACTTGTACTGTAACATCAATGGAGTTCTTGTTGTTTGACATGATTAAGGAGTGTAAGACTAAAGTGTGTGTATATAAGTGTTCACACATATAATTATAACTATGCACCTTAATCTTGATTCAGTAGCCATTGCTCTTAAATGCTTATTCAAAGAAAGCAGTAGCCCACCAGGGAAGATATATTCCTTTATAAAGCCTGCTGTTTGCTGGGCTTCTGTGGCAAGCTCCTCTGGAGTTGTTATGAACTGAAAAAGGAAACACAGAGAGAACCGATGATAGGAACGTTGAAGTTACAATTAAAGCTAATACAAATGCAAAAATTCTGTTTTCCAGTATTTTAACGTTACCTGAAGAACGAAAAGCCCATCTTCTTTCAATAATTGTTCACAGCATCGGTAAAACTCATCAATATATGCTTCATCAACATGTTCTACCATCTCTCTAAACAATTTAATGGCAAATATTAGAACCATTTGTCTTATAATTACTAATTTAATATGAATTGAATACATTGTTAGGAGGAACAAACCCGAATTCCAAACATGGACATAAAAATACAAAAAAGGAATACATATATGAATCGACAAGGGAATATGTAACTTACACAGATATGATCCTGTCATATTGGTTTGTCTTAGGTAACCGGCGATAGTCACAAAGGAGTAATTTGATGTTTCCTGATGATAAAAACCTGTTAACTACAAGAAAAAACAGCAATTAACAGAGTTATTTGCTGACCAAAGCCAAATTTAGAACTGAATACCTGAAGTCCAGCTTCTTTCACTTATTCTTCTGCATATTTCAGTTGCAGCTCTGATAGAGTGATGTCGAGGACTACGTGCCACTTCTCTATTCTTGTCTGTATGCATTAGGAAATGACACAATCGGATAAATGATAATGGCCAAAGGAAATGAAGAATGAGGATTACACCATTATGAGTTCTTACTTTTTCAATTAGAGAACTTGTTTTTCGTCTCTGTGCAAATTCCAAATGCTCTTCTCTGGTCTATAAAGTCATTTAATATTAGTGTAACACGAAGAAGAATCCTTCGTTCATGTATTTTTCAGGAAAAACAGAAGCATAAAAGTTGGGATCCTGACCTTAAAAATTCCAGAAGAGTATTGCATAGTTTCACCTAAGTATAGAGTGAAAAGTTCATCACCCTGCAAACACAATTTGCAAGGAATTGGATTAAGAAGTGGATATTGTATAATGAATATCCTTATACATTAAAACGCTAAAATACCCATTGAAAGTAATTCTAACATCTTGAAATTAGAATCATGACAACTTACCTGATCATAATGACGAGAAATGTTCCTGCGAGCCTGTGTAACACTATTTCCCCTCAACACATGCTTTAGGAAATACTTTGCGGATGATACACTCGCTGTGAACAGTACAGGCGACAACCAAGTCCTGCAACCAATTCATTTTCAAAGCTTAACAAACCGGAATTATTTATATTAACCCAGATTCTTCTTCAAGCTATAACAAAACCTTCTTTTATTCGATCCTGAGGCATTTATATTGGCAACAAGTATCTGCAAAGTTATCAGTGATGATTCTGATAAGTTTTCAGTACCTAAATTGCATTGTGTTTGTAGGAGCAGATCCCAATAAACTTTTTCTTAACAGGAAAAGATTAAGAAGACCTTTGTCTTTATCAAGAAAAGAAAAATCCCCATTGATGTATGCATCTGCTAGGCCTAGATCAGCTTCTTTCATAATCTGAGGGAAAACACATGCAATACTGATCAGCAGTGGTGAGTCAGTGACAAAAAATTTTGTACCTTCCTTTACCAATATTCAAATTGTAGCAAAAAACATGAAATAGGGGTAAGTAATGTCAAGTGTTACCCTCCAGTAAAACCGAGGATTGTGCACTTTCAGAACTGTTTTAAGAGGACATTTTTCCATGTTTCCTTTGAAAGTGAAAATTCTAATTCCTTCCTCTAAGAAACTGGTGAATGCCCCACACAGTAAAATCATGTCAAATTCTAGGAGAAAACCATGCAGTGAAATAAAAAAATGGTAAAACAATTGAATGATTACGTCTAAGAACTCACATTATGCAGCCCATTGACGCATACCGTTGAAACAATTTAGCTACAAAGAGGCGTGCCATTGTTTCCATGAAAGAAGGTGACATATGCTTTGGACTGTACATAACAGAAGAATGCTTTCCCAAGATATCATATGCAGCATCAATACCAGCCTGATAAGAAAAGATCCATAACAGAAACAATTTCTTATAGTATTACTGAATTTGTAAGTTCATTGCAGAGTAAATAAAAGGCATTTACCTTACTGAAATGAAAATGAATAGTTAGAATTGGAAATAAGCAGAAATTAGTTGACATGATGTGTTTACCTTATAAGGCCAATACTAATAAAAGCAAAATACAAAGAAAAATACTTCACTGACAGTCTACATGATCTAGAAGAGTACCGACAGAGCCAGTTTCTTCCGCTGATCGATTACTTTTCCCCAAAATGGATTAATCTCATTAAATTATGGCCCAAAATGCCGAGTAATAAAAAGTAATATAGTCATCTAATTTCATTTAGGAAAAATCTCACCACAGAACCAGATTCCTTTCTTCCCCTGAATCTGACCAAGCTCAATTGAACCTTTTGATGCAGCAACAGAGGGAATGGCACTGCTAATCGACCACTTAAGCAAGGTATTTTTTGGGGTATGGTCCGGATTTATAGTCACAAAAAATGGCTGATGTGATTTCCCAACATTCTGAAGAAATGTAAACAAGAACCAGTCAGAGTGACTCAAGTTATAACTCGATAAAAAACCAAGTATTTTATTAATTCTGATGATATAATGGTATCTTCAAAGACTGAACTGTTTCTAACAATCATATGTCTAAGATCGAACTGTTTCTAACAATCATATGTCTAAGATCTAGTTTACTCAGAGAACTTAACACATACCTGTAGCGAATCCAGCCAGTCTGGTAAGCATGCTTTGTTTTCTCTACTATTTAGAAAATTCACTGCACTCCAAGCTGATTTGTTCTTAGGCATTAAACTACTGTCATTGTGAAGTAATATATCATTTAAGCTTTAGAAAGTACATCAAATCAATGTTTATTAATTCCAAAGAGAGGCTCTCACATCTAGATTTGATAGCCATTATTATATGATTAATGTTCTACTGTAAAAGAAAGTATATTGAAAATGATACAAAGGGAGAAAAATCAGATATAATGGCATCTACATCATGACTCATGAGAAGCATCAAGAAAACAATGGGGACTTCCAAATAAAAGGGAGTATAAATTGTAGTACCTAGAAGCATATTGGAATGCATCTAATACTCTCATTTCTTCAAATGTTGTGTTTCCCAACATTCTTAGGGCTTTGGGAGCAGCAACAGCCATTATGCATCCATTGTATGTTTCTTGGAAACCATCTCCACAGACCAAAGTGGTACCTGTTAATTCATTTATACAATCATCCTTGGAACTTGCAACAAAATGGTGATCAAAGAAAAGAATAAGTCATATTTTCCATTAAATGAGGGATGGATTTCACTTTCCCTGAAATTTTCCTTATTACAAAATTAGTACAGAAACATGACAAGGCCAGTACTCACCATTATCAGCAGGCAAAACAGACAGAACTTGACAGCCAAGTTTAAATAGGCAACCCCTACTCTTCAGCACATCTCTGACCTGATTTTATTGAATTGGAATATACTTCTAATTAGTTCCCACTTTACTACATCTATAATATGAAAATATAAGAAACTAGAAATACGCACCCTTCTAACAAAATATGAGTGCCTTATGATAGTCAACCATTGCGGCTGCGCAAATAGCTGCAGATGGATGTGAAAAGGAAAACCAACAAACAAAATAATGGTGATAGCCTTAGGTAAAGCTTGCATGAATTATACAATGACCAAGTATATTATGTTTTGGCAATCAATCAAACACCTAGTATAAATGACGAGTGCGAAAGAATGAAAGAACGAAGAAGGCTGAAAAACTCATAACATCTTCTCTGGAGCCGGAGCACATTGAACCACATATGGGAGCCAGTAGAATTTCAATATTTTCATTGATTAATTCCTATATTTGGTATGAATATATATAAGTTCTTCAGCAGCTCATCAGGTAAGTGTTCTGAAAATTTTCAGAGTAACCCCTTGACTTTATAAACTGTCCCAAGGTTTCGTTACGATCAATGTCTGGGTTCTTCTCAAGCGATTCAAGATAGCTGCAACACAAGAAATCTTAAGAATGAAATTTTAAGGTTTGGCTGAAAGAAATCTTAAATCATGAATGCGGGACTGGGAACCTGTCGACATCATTCCCAAACTTGATAATCTCTCTGAGGTATTGCCAATTGAAAGGATTCAAGAGTTTCTTCTTTTAAAAGTAATTTGAAAAACCATAATGGGTGCGGCATTCATAGCCATTGCCTTTGTCATGGCTTATGGAGAATGAAACATCAGATGTCTGTACATCAACTCCAAGGCTATCAAACATCTCCCACAATGGTGCAAACTTGCCTATCAAGTTATCCACAGGTTTATACTTTGTTTTCTTATACAAAAGCATAAAATTTGTCAAGTCTATTAATTAGAATCCATACATTTGCTTCCATCATCTTAAGTTAAAGGAGCGAAAAACTCTTAATAAAGAATCAAAATGATCAATTAAACCTTTAATGAAAAGCAAAGCTAAAAAGCCTTACTGGATTGAGAAACAAGAAGCCAAGGTCTAAATCAACGGCATCGAAGTTGAGAGTCTTGGCATGGCCACCTAATTGTTCCTCTTTCTTGTAAACCACCACATCTACACCGGCTTCGGCCAGAACATAGGCCAAAACCAGCCCTCTGAACCCACCTCCGATTATCGCCACCGCCATCGTCACCACCAACACTCTATCGTAATGTCACGCTTGAATTTACGTTGAAAAAAAAAGCCTAGACTAAAATCATCATTTTCATGATCCTAATCTGATCTAGATCGAGTTCGGAAGATTAGAATATCACACAAAATCATCGAAGTAACTAGTTGTTTTTTGAAGTCGTTTACTCAAATTATAAAGTCGTAAGTATTAAATCCAACACAAATAAACATAATTTAATTTTACAAAATTGGAGTTTCAAATACTACAAACCAGATATTCATAATAAGTCTACAAAATATAATCATAAATAAACCTAAGGAAAGGTCCCATGGATATGTACTTGTTCAATTATCCATGAAGGAATATGCTGAAGGGAAACCTTTGTATGGATCCCCCAGTGCCAGCCCGTGAAAAAACAATATGTAATTATATCAACACCAATTAATACCTTAGCTTTAATCTAAGGTTCACATATTTCCACCATATATCACGATTGTAGACACTTATTTTCATTCGTGTCACTCTAAAGGTGTCTATTATACGATATCTATAATATAATGTGTATATATTATAGTTTTTGAAAAATATAATATATATATATATAGTTTTTGAATATATATATATATACAGTTTAAGAAAATATATTATATATAATTTTTTTTTAAATATATATAATCTTTGAAATATAAGTTTTTTAAAATATATATAGTATATATTATATTAATAATTTTTTTATTTATTTTATTTTATTATTTTTATTTTACAACCACAATTATAAACTAAACACATAATAATTCTTTTTTAACATGAGAAACTAGTTACTTAAGATCACAATGATCATACAAGGAAAAGGTTTAAAAACTTAACCAAATAAACTCGGATAAAAGATAGATAAGAACACATATGATCGTATCGGTAAACGAACTACAAAAGATGATGAAGTTATTGAAATGCTAACGACAAATCGCAAATTAAAATTGAGCGAAGAGAAAATACTAACCACAAAAGATTCTTATTTGACTTAAAATTTGACCCAACCATTTTTTTATTAAAATTTGCATATGACCCGACCTAATTATATATAATTCATTTTATTAGGTAAAATAATGACTTAATCGAAAAAATAAAATAGAAATGTGTATTATTACAATTATCACTAAATATATAATAGATAATTATAATATTAAGTCGGGTCGAGTCAAGTTTTTTTCATCATAAATTTGAATTCGAATCAGCTTCACCTTAAAAAAAATGACTCGACCCTAACCCAAATTTTCAAAAATAAAAACTGACCCTACTGGATTGGGTCAGATCGAAACTCATCTTGTTCGGGTAATATGCACATCCCTACTCGGAAAAAAATGAAAAATTACAACTTTTGTATGAATTAATTTGTGAGTAATTTTCATATTAATCATACTAATGCTCCAGCACATAGTAGTAGACGTTTACATTACTGGCTCTAATACCTGAACTGATCAGACCGGCCTATTCGAGGGGCATCATTGTTGATTTTCAAAGAACATTACGACTTGATTATACACAACATCCTTGGCGTTAGTTCCCATGACGAAATCGGCATGGGCGTAATCTTTGATGAACTGAGTCATGAGCTTGTTGACATCATGGAACTTGAGGCTGTCAAGCAATAGCTGAACATCTTGAATATCCGAGAGTGCATCTTTGCCGCCGTAGCTGATGAAGATGGGGAGGTCGCGAGGGATGTTGGAGATGTTGTAAACCGGAGGTTTGGCCGCACCGTAATGCATCACGTTGTAGTCTGGCCTGCCGTAGTTGTATTTCACTATAACTCCATCTCGGACAGCTGCAATTTCAGCTTCGTCGAAGCCTCTAGTATTAGTCACTTAACAATGTTCCAGGACATCTTGTCATGTCGAATTACATATCGGGTACACTCACCTTTAATGCAAGTATACGCTAGAACGATGATGAATCCGGTACATAAGAACGACATTCGGAAATGTGGAAACAACATGGATGAGATGCTAGAAGAAGAGTTTGGTTTCATAGACTTACTCTGAGCTAAGTGCACCATGTTTTTGGTTGCTGTGGATTGAGGCTCATTCTTTATGAAAAGATCAACCGTGGAGAAATTAAGACAGCAATTTTTTCCTTGAATTTACAATAACAAAACGAATTCAGAATTCTCTTAGAATGATTAATTCTATTTCGATATATGCATACCTGATACATGTGTTCGAGTTCGAATGACATAGATCGGTAGAGTAAGAAAGTTAATCTGTTTAGTCTATTACAAGCATTAAGATTGAAAGAACTTGAGTATGGATGTTGTACCGGTGATTGCATTTAATAGGTCATAGCAGTCCACTCCAGGGTAATTGCATAAAGACTTGAGAAAGACTGATGCTTGCTGTCTGTCAAGAGCAGAGAAAATTCAAATCTTGAAGCTAAAAAAAGGTTCAATCTTTAGTACAGAAGAGAACAACCGGTTCTCTGCTCTTGATTCTCACCCTTTTGGATTGAATTCGGCTACCCCGAACCATGTAGTGATCTGCTTGCCAAAAAAAAAACAATAAGATCTTTTAGCAGATTAATAATAGTGATGGTGAAGAGAGTGTTCCTTACGGACCTCGCCGACGAAGGCTTTAGCGGCTACCGTACCGAGTGCGGTATTCATATGGCTTAAGTACGCGATGGGGCTTAGAAATGCTGCAGATTTCAGTGTGTTCGCTTGATGGCCCTCGGAGAAAGATGCCAGACCTATAAGAGTTCCCTGTCGATCAGAATGCACACATTGCATTAAGGTCTTCGTATTCTGTTTCATTATCTATGTTGTCTCGACTTTTCATTTTTTGCGGTTAGATGATTTCTCACCAGGGAATGACCGATGTAATGAATCCTCTGCTGTGTCTGGTTGAACACGAAGTCAAAAACAGCCGGTAGATCGAAACTCACCAGCTCATCCCACGACCAATTCCAGAACTCCTGTCACTTTCAACTATCGGTTTAAGTCACCCTGTAAAGTTCATATTCAAGTTTCCAGGTTTGTCGACACTTTTATTACGAAACGAAGAAAGGTCAGAAGAAAAACCGGCTGGCTGGAATCGAGCGAAACATGTTCCCTGCAGAATCTGGTCCCTCTGGTGTTGGCAATCCACACATCGAAACCTTTATCAGCCAAAACCATTGGTAAATTCTCTTGCGGTGAATTCAGGAGCCATGCCATTCCATCCTGACAACCAAGATTATAAGCTTTCGATTTTCCATTTTTTTATTCGATTGATTCAATTATTTAATGGTATAATGCCTATCATCGATTTTCAGTTCAACCGACCCGAATTTATAATTAGGCCATGAACGTAAAGGTAAAAAATTTACCTTAAAGAAGCAATAATCATGCATCATGGCATGTTCCGTGCATAGTTTAACTTGCATCCAAAGCAAAAACAATGCAAAAAAGGTGACTCTAATCTCATGATTGAATCCCTTAGGAAAGCATTTTAAACCCTTACTTTTTTATTTTTTACAACATGTTTTTTCAAGCATAAAAGTGCATTTATTATATTATTCATATTACTTAAAAACTCTCACAAAATGTAATCTTGGTGCGAAAATTAAGCCAAATCTTTCCTATAAAGTGAAAAAGTTTCCTTAGAAAAAGGCCCTCCAAAAGAGTGCGCGGCACATGCATTTACTCGAGCGTTTTAACTTAAACTTTAGCCATCAAATTTTCCTCGCATGGAGTCAAGTTCACACCTAAAAAGACCACCGGTGTTTAAAAATCTGATTTTGATTTGAGATAAAGATTGAATATTATTATTTTTAAAATATAGAAATTTAAGTAATTGTGTCGGTAGAATGTATGCATTCGATGATTAAAAAAATAAATATATATTACCTAGAAATCATTTAAAATTATTAGAAAAATCGAATTACTCGAGAAGGATACTTGAATTTATCTTACTGGTTAACTCGAGTTGTTCAAGCTTGAGTTACTCGGAAATGATAGATGACTCACCACAAGGACGCCATGCTGTATGAGTACCGGCTGCTTCGTGTTTCCAGCACCACCGTTCCCCTCAACACGTCCCTCTGGGATTCTTTGCATGCTAAGGATATATCCATCTTTGGTTTCCACCTGCAACAATGATCAATTTTAACCTAAAAATAACACCAGAAAAAGAAAACTCCGTGTATCAATGTTGATAAATAGTTCATATACTTGGTGTTCCTGGCATTTGTAACCATGGATGGTGACCGAGGTGGCGCATATCCCAGCGACTTCTGAAGCACCATTGCTGAGGCCGAACAAACCACGGGTCGAGCCAGATGCTCCGTGAGGCTCGACCACCAAGGCGAGTAAAAGGATTAACGATGCCAGACTGACCAACTCGGGAGGACGAGCCATAACTTTGCCAGTTATGGTTTGGCTGTTTCGATGGCTAAAATCAGTGGATGTGGTGGTGTTATGTATATATAGAGAGAGAAAGGAAGGAAAAGAAAGGAAATAGTGGGGGGAAAAGATTGCTTATTTATTTATTTATTTATGAAATTCCTTGCATTCAAGGTAATTTGACCAAAAAATCACCCTATTAAAAAAATATTACCTATCAATCATTCTTTCTTAACTATTTCACGATATAACATCTTTTTTCAGAAGAAATAAGGAAGCACACGACAAGAGACGCGCCTTAGTCGGGGGAGGAAAGTCGTGTCGCATGAAAAGCTCCTTCCATGGTTTTTATGAATGGCGCGTCCTATAGAATGCGGCTCCCTTGAATGTGCGTCATAGGGAACTTGTGTAAACCCAAACTAACGAAGCACACGATCAGTCGGATGCCACTCAATAATAGTAGAACAAATAAGGGGCACAACCATTACTCATACATCCATTATCCCACTCATGTTAGGTGGGATGTAAACCCTCAATTCGTCATCCAAATATGAAAACCATTTGAACTAAAACAAAAATATTGATTTCTTATCAAAATTAAAATGGAATTCAAATTATATAAATACAATTAAATAAAAAAAATTTAAAAAAAAAGTACCTCTACACCAATTTTCTGGTCAATGAGTAATCATATATCTTGTAATTCTTGTGGGATATAACTATTATTTTTCCTATTACTTGCTCACCTATTTAATATAAAAATGTACATATGTCATTCTATAATAATCAAAAACATTATTTAAAAATAATTTTACTATTGATACCTTGAAAGTAATAGAAAGACATATGACTCATTCACGATCGGGCACAAAAAAGGCATACGATACCATACCCACTTTTGGAGAAGCATGAGACAATCTCCAATAGTAGTCTTTCTATAATTCGTAGCCCAACATATTTCTCTAAATAAAAATGCCAACACTACAGACCCCCAACTTAATGTGTCGGCTACTTCAAAATAGATCATGTGCCTCAACCACATACAATGGACCTGATTTTGAGATTTGTCAGGCATCAATATACATCCAATGAGTTGTAGTATATATGCCCAGGCAAATGGTTTTGCCTCGTCCTCCAAACAATTTTCGCTTAAATATTTAAATTCACTTTTCAGCCACCCTAATGTTATTCAGCCACCATTGAAATTAGGCAGGCAACTTCCAAGATACTCCCTGCATAAACCCCCAATCATCATATTCTATACCAAAAATGGCAGTTCCATCTACCGGGAGCCTAGTTGCATTGAAACATCCTCTAGCGTAATGGTACACTCCCCACATGGTAGATGAAACATGTGTGTCTCTGGCCTCTATCTCTCAATTAGTGCAAAAATCAGGGCATGTTCAAGTTTATAACATCCTTCAATTTTGGCTAACTAACCGAATCCAACCATAGACAAATATGACCATATACGTCTCGGTGTTTCCATCTTTTTATTGCAAACAAAAACTTTTAATATACGATTATTTTCCTAAGAAATAAATTCTAACAATTAAAATTTGAACTATTATTTCAAAATTATTTAAATAAATTCAAATAAATAAATTCTAATAATTTAAATAATATATCATCGATTTCATAATATTCATAAATTTAAAAAGAATATAGTTTCGTATTCTTACTGTAACGGCAAAATGACTCGAAATATGATCAACATCCAATCGTAATAAAGCGCCTTCTATTTTTTAACAACAATTAATACATATTAACTGCTTATATTCGGGCGATTCGTGATATGTATTGTAGATCTACTACACACGTCAGGACTACAGTTGGTGACACCGAGGCATTCCCAGTGGAAATCGGACTCCACCAGGGGTTGGCTCTTAGTCCTTACATCTTCGCCTTGATTATGGACGACATCTATTGTGCGACACCAGACGGTGTACCATGGTGTATGCTTTTCGCTGACGACATTATCCTAGTTGCTGAAACAAAATCTGAGTTTAATAGTAGACTGGCTACCTGGAAGACTGCTTTGGAAGAAAAAGGTCTAAGGATCAATATTGAAAAGACAGAGTATTTATGTTCAAACTTCAGTGGGGACCAAAACGATGAATATGTAGAAGTATGCATAGAAGGACACGTTCTCCCCTCAAAGGATTGTTTCAAGTACCTAGGGTCTATGATACATAAAGATGGGGGTGTAGATGATGACGTTACACACCGTATAAAGGCGGGATGGCTAAAGTGGAGGGCCGCTACTGGAGTTTTGTGTGACAAGAAGGTGCCTCTAAAACTTAAGGGAAAATTTTATAGAATGTCAATAAGACCAGCGCTGTTGTATGGATCAGAATGTTGGGCAACCAAGAATGATCATGTAAGGAGGATAGAGGCCACAGAAATGAGAATTCTTCGATGGACATGCGGTAGGACTCTGTGGGATATGACAACGAACCCTGCTATTAGGATGTCCTTGGGGGTGGTGCCTGTTTCTGAAAAATTGAGGGAGGGAAGACTACGGTGGTTTGGGCATGTCCTTAGGCGACTACTGTCGGATGCGGTCAGGAGGGTAGAGTCGATTACAGTTGACGGTACCAGAAGGAGAGAACGACCAAGGCGGAAGTGGGAAGACTGCTTAAGATCTGATTTGATGGATTTAGCCCTTACCGATGACATGACCTCTGATAGGAAAGTATGGAGACTTAAGACTAGGGTAGTCAAGTAGTGTGGGTCACATCTCTAGGGTGTATCATCTCTGTCTTCTTTTAATGCCTTAGTAGTAATTTCCATGACTTCTACTTTTTATACGTTTCTGTTATTGGTATTTATGAAGGCTTAGAACTGGGCTTGCTATCGTTGACTTCTGTGTAACATTATCTTCACTTTTAAATTTAGTCGGGTCTTACGTTTCTGTCTATATGCAGAGATTTTTTCGCAGAGATTTATTTGCAGGGATTACTGCCCATTACAAACGCGCATATGATATTAATGATATTAATGACTGCATATGAATATTGTTCAACTATGTATTTATGTATTTATTTATACATGCATTGCATTTTATCTATATTTTTAATTTTCTGACTGCCAGAGGTCTTCCACGGAAGCTACTCTCAACCTGGCGTTGGGGGCAGCCTACTACCCTACCTCCCCCTTACCCCATTGCATATGGGAATTGGGTTTTGTTGTTGTTGTTGTTGTTATGTGAGTTGGAGAAGAGGGTTTATATAGGTAACCAGTTGGGGAAATAGGCGGGAGAATTTAGCGGGAAATCGAGGCGGGAGGGGGAATGTGTGCCCAATGGGATGCGCCTTCTAGGGGTATCAACGATTTTCAACTAAGGCATTTCCTACCAACCGCACCTTTATCCTAAAGCGCATTTCATCGAACGCGTCTCCTTCTTTCAGGTGTTAGATCGAGCAATATTTGGGAAACAATGACTGACATGTAATATTTTATTTATACGGTGATTTTTTTGTCAAAAAAATAGCTTTTGGAACTGTCGGCTAAGGTTTTCTTGGCTAGATGGGAGCTTTTTCTTTACTTTATTTGTGTGTCATTTTTTTTTCCTTTTCATGAATAAATTGGTGATGACGAGTATTTATTCAATATGATAATTTAATTTAAGATTAAAGAATGATAATAAATTAAGATAATAAAAATATTATAAAAATTATAATATTTTATGTTGTTCTCAATAAAAAAAAGTTATATTTTTATAATATTTTAGTTTGTACTTACTTTTTATAGAAAGCCGCTAGTTTTATTAAAAATATAAAATATTCAAAATTACAATGAAGATTTACGAGCACAATCATAAACTAAATTATAATTAAGACATTTTCTTATAATCATTGACACAAAAACTAGTCACCTATATCATACAATGAACAATTACCATAGAAGGAAAAGGTTAAAAAACATAACCAATGCTCGAACAAAATAAAGATACAAACAAATCTAAGAGCATCGAGAAATAAACCACAAAAGAGGATGAAACTACTGAAAGATCATCGAAAATCGCAAATCAGAGTCAGAGGACGTGAGAAAACTATCCACGAGCGCAAAACTAGTATCCAAATCAATCTGATGGTCCAAAGCTTGGAAGATCAACATGATAACAAATAAGTGTCATCTTGATCAGTCGTGGCGATGTCAAATCCAACCCTGAGAAAAAAGATAAACGAAAACAACAACTAAACGATCGAAAACTACCAAAAGGCATAGAAAAAGTTCTACAAATAGATGAACGTGTCATAAAAGCAGAGATAAACGTGTCATGAAAACAGAGATAAACATATTACAATGACAGAATTATTCTTATTAAAAAACTGAAAAAATAAAGAGAAAAGACAATTAGGGTCGATAACTAATATCAAAATCGGTGTCGTCGCCGGTTAAACAAAATTAAAAAAGAAAAAATTGATTTAATCTATATAAATTGACAAAGTTATAAAGAGAGAGAGAAAAAAAAAGGAGAAGAAGAGATGGAAGAAAGAAAGAGCAGCTACGGTTTTTAAACCTTTGAATGATCAACTTTTTTTCATCATTCTTTAATCTTATATTAAGTTATATTTATGAATCCACCTCTTAAAGTTGGATGATAATATATTGTTTAGAATGACTCAATAATTTTAAATAAAAATAGTATAAAAATTAAATTTATGAAATAAAATAAAAAACGAAACTAAATTTTAAAATAATTTGGAAACGAAACAACTCAATCTCTGTATCAAGCTCTTGACACAATGCATGGGCTTTTTTCTTGGGCAACTAAACTTGCAGAAGCCCGGATCTTTTGGATCGGATCCGGAATTTGATGTTTGGTAAATGGTACGGACAGAGTAGCAAACAAGGCAGCCATAGCGGAGTCTCTCTCTCTCTCTCTCTCTCTCTCGCTGATCATCTTCGTTTGCTGGAAGACAATCGAAATCTTTCAAATCTATTCAATCTTTTGTAAGACTATTGCAATTTTGTTCTTTTAATTGTTACTTTTTTGTTTCACTCTTAATTCCTCTCTTTTGGTTTCAACTCTCTCCCCTTAATCTGATTGCGTAATTCAAATTCTTCGTTTCTAGCACTTCCTATCTTTGTTTTTTCCCTTTTTTTTCCTCATTTTTTCTTGTTTAGAATCCGACTTTTTTTTGTGTATGATTTGGTTCTAATTCAGTGTCTTTGCGGGTTTTGGAAAATTAGGGCTTTGGGGTTTTGTACCTTTGGGGTTCAACTTCTAAAGGTTCGATTTTGAAGGGGAATTTTTGTTTATTTTGGTGCTTTTGATTATTGAGTATATGCTAAGATTGCTTGGGGTTTGCTTTTTTCCCCTGAATGCTTTAGGTTTGGTAGGTGTTCGATATTTTTCCCAAGTGAATTAGATTAGTGATGTCTATGAACAATAACAATCCCTCCAAGAGCCTTGGGGCGTCTTCGTCGCCTGTTGCTAATGCGGGGATGGTAGCTCCATCGATGTCTGGAAATCCTGCATTCTCGCAGGCACAGGCACAACTAAGTGCTGATTTTCAAGCTCAGTTTCAGTTATCACAAGCTCAGGCCCTTGCTCTGGCTCAGTTGAAAGCTCTGGCCCATGCTCGAGCTCAAGGGCAGTCTGTTCATGCCCAATTCCAAGCACAACTTCAAGCTCAAAGTTTGGCCCTTAGCCAAACTCAAAATGCTGGCCTTGGTAATTTAAGTTCGTCATCGCCATCCATGTCTACTCCTGGCAGTGCAAGTGCAAGGAGGATCTTTCAAAGGCCCCCCATGTATCCTCCTACTGTTCCGATGACAAACACTATGTCCCCTTTGAGAACAGTGGAACTTACACAGGCAGCTAGAAGAAAGAAGCAGAAGGTTCCTGACAAACAGCTACAAGAAAGAGTGGCTACCATTCTTCCCGAATCCGCTTTGTACACCCAGCTTCTTGATTTTGAGGCACGAGTTGATGCTGCGGTTGCTCGGAAAAAAGTTGACATCCAAGAGGCACTAAAAAGCCCACCTAGTGTTCAGAAAACTCTTAGAATATATGTTTTCAACACATTTGCTAATCAGATTCAGACAATTCCAAAGAAGCCTAACGCAGAGCCCCCGGTGTGGACCCTTAAGATTATTGGGAAGATCTTGGAAGATGGGATAGATCCTGATCAGCCTGGGTTTGTTCATAAAACGAACCCGTTGTACCCAAAGTTTTCATCCTTCTTCAAAAGAGTGACTATCTCTTTAGACCAGAGACTGTATCCGAATAATCATATCATTATATGGGAGCATGCTCAATCTCCCGCACCACAAGAAGGTTTTGAGGTGAAGAGAAAGGGGGAAAAAGAATTCACTGTGAATATTCGGTTAGAAATGAATTATGTTCCCGAGAAGTTCAAGCTTTCTTCAGCTTTAATGGAAGTCCTTGGTATTGAGGTTGATACACGCCCTAGAATTTTAGCTGCAATTTGGCATTATGTGAAAGCTAGAAAACTTCAAAACCCAATTGATCCGTCTTGTTTTAATTGTGATGCACAGCTTCAGAAAGTTTTTGGGGAAGACAGAGTGAAATTTACCATGGTTCCACAGAAGATATTGCAGCATTTGTCTCCACCACCACCCATACATTTGGACCATAAAATCAAGCTTTCTGGGAATAGTCCTGCTGGAAATGCATGCTATGATGTGTTAGTCGACATACCCTTTCCTATACAAAGGGAATTGTCTGCTCTGTTGACAAATGGAGAAAAGACCAAAGAGATTGATGCTTGTGATGAATCAATATGTGCTACTATAAGGAAAATTCATGACCACTGTAGAAGGCGTGCATTTTTTCTAGGATTCAGTCAATCTCCAGTAGAATTTATAAATGCTTTAGTTCAGTCTCAGACCCGGGATCTGAAATTGGTAACTGGAGAACCTAGTCGAAGTGCTGAAAAAGAGCGGCAATCAGATTTCTTTAACCAACAATGGTAAGCTTTTTTTTTAGACTTGCAGTTACTCTTGTTGTGTTATGGATCATTTAGAGCAACCTAGCCTATCACTTTATAGACATGCGGCCATTGCCACTGACAATATCTTGCGTCTTGAATTGTGATTGGTTTGGTAGAAACCTGAGTACTAGATCGACCTTTCAACCTTATTGCTCGCGCCTTGTCAAAAGCATTTATCAGATCTTCCCTCTCATTGCCTAGTACCGTAAAATATTATTACATAAGATTTTTTTTTATTTTCCGGAGCTCATATGTGAAACAATAGACATGCGGGTGGTGGGTCATCATGTGTTAATTCATTCATGAATGTATCCTGTTTAAGCCTTGACGTTTGATCTTTAAATCTTTTGATCAACATAATCAAGTTCTTTTCTGGTGATTCCGATAGGGTTGAAGATGCTGTTATCCGTTATCTGAATCGCAAGCCACCTCCCGGAAGTGATGCTCCAGGAAGTACACGAATCATGTAAACCACCTGCTGCAAGTGATGTTTCTGGAAGCTGAAGAATAATGCAAAGCCACCTGCTGCAGAAGTAAAGCTCATGAATCATGGAAACCAGCTGCTGGAATTGATTTTCCAGGGAGAAAGCGTCGCAGTCTCTGAAGATATCGATGACTTGCTAGGTTTTCCATTGATTTGAATCATGTATCAACTGAACTGTCTGTATACCGATCCTTTAGAATTGTAATGTTGTTGAATGGGGATTTAGAGGGATGTAGAACAGGAAGTAGCATAATTATCATCAAACCCTTTTAAATTAGACATTAGAAATTAGCATGAGAGTTTGATTTTCTTCTATTTGTAATATGTATATGGCACACTCCTGGACTATGATGCTTGGACAAGGGTGTGAGTATCAGATATGGGACATGTTTAACATGAACATGGGTATGTGTATTTCTTTTTAAGTGGCCATATATTTAAATTTATGTCCAAAACAGGAAAAGTTAAAAATGAAGAGTTTAGTGGATATTTTCTTGGTCTGGAAAACTGAAACTGAAGAATTTGGAGCAACATAGGCCGTGGTCCTGGTTGTTTGCTTGTCCTGGCTGTAATCTATCGTATGGTAATTTTGGATATAAAAGAAAACACAAAACGAGAATGGCCTATCCAACAAATACAAAAGCTATACTAGATTTTGTCTATTTTGTTATTATTACGTAAAGAATATTGATACGTAAACACGCCATAGGATATAATAAAGAAATGTTGAAGTTATAAAAAAAAGCTATACTTTGATTGCTTGACCGAATGCTCTTTGGGTCTAAGCGATTTGACAAAAGTATCGTATGAATGATCTTTGCCCTGTTTCCATTGCTGGACCTCACCATTGTGGAGAGCCTTATCTCAAACCTGGGATAGTCTTCGCGAAAACCTTCTATGGCTGCCAGTTAACGGAAATACTGTGCAATTCTGGGATGATTGTTGGTGGCCCCGTATGCAGTCAATTGAACCCTTCACCCAATAGCAACGTCAACAATGGCTTTCATGATTTCATTGATAGAAATGGAAACTGGGATGTAAAGGAGCTTTCACGCCAAATTTCGATTTCCGCCCACCATTGTACCGTATATTTCGATCAGAAATGGAAGATTGTTTGGTCTTTGTCGATCCTGCAGCGTATCCGAATCTTTCTCTATTTAACATTTAGAGATCACTTATTAACTAATCAAGAGTGATGTCGTCGAGGACTCTCCACCGACTCTTCTGTCCTCTTTGTTACACTAATGCTGAGTCTGCTTTACATGTTTTGCGCGACTGTGTGCCTGTGAAGACTACCTGGATGAAGCTCCTTCCTCCTGCTCTCTAGCAAGGCTTCTTCTCAGCCTCTTTGTCTGATTGGATCAAGACCAATCTCACGCACGATGGCACCTTTACAGGTATGGAATTTTCTTGGGCTTCTTTTTTCTCAACCTTTCTATGGCAGATATGGAAGCGTCGAAATTGCTTTATATTCCAATACTCAAGCTATCTATGATATTCTCCGACAAAGTATCTCCTGGTCTTCTTACTATACTGCTCGTCGCCACCCCCTTGCCTGTTTTAGAGATAGACACTCAATAATACTCGAGTGGAAGCCTCCCATGGTCCCATGGACACTTGAAGCTGCCTCAACGTCGATGCTTCGGTTGATATCAGAACTGGTCTTGGTTCTGTCGGTGGTGTGCTTCGAACGAACCAAGGTGATTGGCTCACTGGGTTCCATCGATACCTGGGATAAGGACACCCCTCATGGCAGAGTTATGGAGCATCTACGCAGGGTTACAAATAGCATGGAACTTCGGTACTGAAGTCGTGCAAATTCAGTCTGATAACCAACAAGCCATTCAGCTCCTTCTTGATCCTAAGATAGTGTCGATTTTTAATTTAGTAGTAAAATTGATTCATACACTCTATAAATATAAACGAATTCTATATATATTTGGTGTAATGAAACCCGCATATACCGAGAGCAGACGATGACAGAACTCTATTTGGGCTCAAACTCTGATATTATTTGAGCTTCGATTCTGGTTTAAATAAAGAAAACCCGGTTTAAATTCTTGAACCAGTTTCCATTGAAAAACTGAAATATTCTGTTCCTAACTTCATGGCTGCTAACGAGGTCTTCACTAGGAAGGCAGAGAGTCGCTCTTTCTTTCTCAGTTTTTGTCTTCATTTTGCACTTCTTAATCTTTGTTGATCCGTAACGGAATCCTATAGACAAAGAAAGTTCCAAGGAGTAGCAATGGAAGTGTCGGACGAACACGAATTTGATCGACTGCTCTTTTTTGAGCAAGCTCGTAAAATTTCCGAAGCCAATTACGCTTCAGATCCTAACGACGCCGATGTTCGGTTTCCTCCTTCCTTCGATCTATTTTTCTCCTCTCTTTTTTCCCCAATTAAAATGTGTTTTTGGCTAGGTCTTTTTTCCTTTTCTTCTGGCTGAACTTGACCAGATGGGCCGGAGCTTTACTGGAGTTGTCTCACTGTCAAAGTCCTCAAGTTTCCCTGAAAATGATCAAAGGTGACTTGAGACCACGAGACTGGGGACTTCATCTCGAAAGAGCGATATCTTCCTCTGGCCGTCCGTCCGCTTGGGTTAATTACACAGCATGTACTTACACGTTTTAGAAATTTTCAACCAAGCACCAAAAATTCACAAAGACTCTAATTTAACCCCACTTAAAGATAGAAAAAATAACCTCAATTTAAGATGTGACAGACCATACAAAATTGATTGCTAAATTTAACTCCAATTTGACACAAACCAAAGTAACCTCAATTGTAAAAGAATTATTGTTATTCCTCAAAGATCCGAGTTCGAGCATCTTAGATGTTAGGGATATGAGCGATCAATGTCAAAAAATTAATTGTTATTTTTAAATAGATATTGTCATATACTTATCCCAAATTATTTAAAAAAATTAACTTCAATTTGAGATGTGACAGACAGTCCATACAAAACTGATTCCTGTGAAAACAGCCCATGATATATTCTTTGAATCCGAGTAGGGTGATCAATATGATTTGATCGTTGAATCGGATTCGCAAATTGCGGTGTAATGGGTTACTAAACCGTCATTAAAACTATAAATGCTCTGAAACTTTTTAACTAGTTTCGACAAGATCTCTAACCAATCGAAAGGTATTCATTTTGGGACGAGTTTATGGGACACGTCGCACTTCGTAACATATCACTAAATCGATATATAAAAACATGTCACTAGCTAAATTATGCTTATAAAGTAATATTATTTCGTTTTATTTTAATACTTAAACTTTATTTTTTAAAACCATTAACGACAAGGTTGATGTGGCATGACATGTCAATTTTTTTTTTTCATATCATTTTTCTATTTCTTCGGTAACATTTTTTTATTTGTTTAACCAATTAAATGGTGACACATGTCACCAACTATAGGGATACAATAAAATATAATATTTTTGCTCTTAGCATGAATTGAACCTAAGCCTCTTACATGAAATGCTTCAACGCACTCAACCATTGAATTAAACTAGTCATTTAAATTAATTTTACCATATTTTATATTTAGCTTATATAATAGTTTCGAATATTTTATGATGATTATAAAATTCAAATATGCGACACATTAAATTAATGATCGAAAGCTTGGTCATTCATCTACAATGTGAATCTATTTTTATTATATCATACTTAATACTTACATGTATCATTATTAAATTAAATAATAAGTTTCACTCTATTTGAATATAAAAAAAATAACTAATAAATTGTTTATATATATATTTTTATAATATTATGAAAATATTTTAAAAATTTATTTATTTTTAAAATTATATCATTTATTTATTTGAAATAATATTATTTTTAAATTGTTTATTTAATTTTAAATGATATTATACGGAACTAAAGTAATAGGTAAAATTGCAGTACCTAAATTTCTAGCCTTTTTTAGACAGCATTGCTTTCAACCTAACTGTGTGTTTGAGAAAATGAATAGTATCATGTAGGAAAACATTCCCAAGTTGCTTGTGTTGCCATTAGATCTTTGATCTTTGTTTTTGAAAATGCATTCCAATTTGTATAGTTTCAGTTCTGTATCTTGCATATCTTTCTTTGCCAACTAATCTCAGTTTCATCGGCATACCGATGCACCTCGACATAACAGAGCATGATACAACGATTCCATGCCTTATAATTTAAGTGTACCATACACCAAGAAATGCAACCCAGAGGACAATGCTAATAAAAAAATTGACATATTCAATTGAAGTTCAACCTTTAGAAGGAAGGGTTAGCATGAAGTATACGACTCAATGGACCAAAAGTAACAATGGATGTGTTTATTTCAACAACTAAAACAAACTTAATTTCCAACAAAAGTGAATATAAAGAAAACTAGAAAACCACCATGTCTGAATTTGAATTACTTTAATGAATTCAGATATAGCCATCCAGCTGTTCTATCTTTTGGTCTTCATGCTGAAAATTCATACCGATTGCCGCGCTTCCTGCAAGCCAGTAATAAGATTCATATGAACTATCAACCATGGCAAAACTTTTCATAGATGGAGGTGCTTGTCAATAGAGTTAGTTGCATTCGAAGTAGAGAAATTAATGTATGTGTATCAGTTTGTTAAGCTACCACTATTTGGTTTATCTTGAGGAAGGTTCCATCCAGCTATAGGAGTCAAAAACAACTCCATCCAGCGTACTCCATACCTAACCCCACACAGTCTATCTATGTTGCTCCAACTCATACCTAGACTCGACCCGTCGACCCCCATGTCCAACGTATTTGTGACAGGAGCAGAGGGATAAGACCCCCATAAACATAATATCCTCTAAATACATGAAAAAATAGAAAAAAATATTGAACATACTCGTGTCATACACATCCTATCCGACACACACCGAACTCCAACAAACATACAAGAGGCAGCTTATCTTCTACTCTTTTCAGCCTATTTCATTATCTTGTCTAAAATGAAAGTTTGAATCTATTGCTCGTTAGTAATTGCAAACAAAATTGGCTCTTTACAGCCATTTTTGCTGAAAGCTGCAAATTAAAAAACCAATTGCATTGATCCGTTGAGTTCACTATGTCTCCAAGATAGAATAAAATCAACATATAAAGAAAAGATCAAGCACACTGAGATGCCAAAAATGGATTCATAAATAAAATAATACATCTGGTTAAGAAAACTAATTCAATTTCCCAGATCTCTCAAACAGTAAAAAAACCTATAATATTTAGTCAAATTCCATTTTCCTAGAGTAATCAACAACCATTTTCTCAAAAATTCAGAGATTTTTGGTTCTCTGTGCTTTATTCATTTTAATTCGAATAAATTAAGATCAATAGCAAAGCAATAACATATAATAATACAATAAACCAACAAAGTAACATGAAAAAACAAAATAGAAATGGAAGGAATCAAACCGCACCTAACCAGATCCAACAATAATGTTGTTAATGGGGATAAAGATGAGCTTAACGAAAAAACCCACAAATCCCATAACCACGAATCCGATCGCTGTACGAAACGCCACCTTCGTAAACTCTGAAACAAAACAAAGAAAAAAAAATCTTGCAATCAGAATTCAGAACGATCAAACAAAACCTAAAATTAGAAATGAGAAAGGAGTAACCTTTTTGATCAGGCTTGTGGCATTTCTTGACAAGACGAACGCTATCCTTAGCGAACTCTCTTAGCGGATCGAAAACTGAATCAATTGCGTCCATATCTCAACCCCCTTTCTGGTTTGATTTGGTCTTTGGAAGAAACTCAGGAAATTTTAAGATCTGTGGATCTATTAAAAGGGTAGAATTCTAAGAAAGGCAACTTGAGGTAAATGAATAGGAGCCGTTAAAATAAGATACGGGAGTGAAAGAGAGAATGTGAGCCGTTGAATAAAACTAAAAGAAAAAAAAACTGATGAAAATGGACTAGCAATATTTCAATTTAGTCCTCAATATTTAACAAACATTTTAATTTAGTCCTAATGGAGGTTTCAATTCTAGCAAACAGTAGTAGTAGAGAACGTAAAAATCATCAAACACCGTATTACACCATAAAAAATTTCATACAAATGTAAGCACACTGTCAGGAAATAAGCTTTAAGTGGCTAACAATACATTATGTCTAAAGAAATTATTACTTGCAATGAAATTTTCTTTGGTAAAAAACTATACCGACAGAGGAGAGTGTCGCTAGAGATGAAAAAGTCCGTCGGTAATAGTTACAAGAAACAAGGTAGAACATATTGAGATGCATTTTTGTGTGCACATCACTCGACATGTATGTGAATACCAATGGCAATGATCAAGATGGTGATTATGCAGAAGTATATCACGGCGTGGATTATGATGGTTATCCACTTGTACACATGTTTCCGAATTCTATCACTCGAGTTTTCGACGGCAGCTAGAAGAGCAACCCGATGACAAGAGGATGAACAAGCTGACTGCGATGATGATCGGTCCCCAGTCTACACTCATTATTTCTCTCTTTCTTTCTTTTCACTTTTTTCTCGAATTCACACTCGAAGCAAAGGGTTTAAAGATTTCTTTTTAGAGAGAGAGAATTTGGTCTCTTCCAATACAAATTGGTGAGTAAGTAGGGTTTGAGTTTAAAGGGTGGGTAAGGCATATAAATGATTCAATGTTTATACAAATAAAAGGGAAATAGCTTAAAGGTAGTTTTTTTTGGGGGATTAATAAACAATGCCTTTACCATCAAATAGATAGATAGGTACAATAAGCAAATAGTCCTCATAATAATAGGGTAAATTTTTAGTCTAGTCCCCCAACTATAAAAAGTACAAAATAATCACATTGTTTAAAAAAGTAATAAATTAATCCTTACTGGTTAATTTTTTAATCGAAGATGACGTGATAGTTAATAAAATTAGAATAATAATAAATTCATTTCTTAACCTTTATCCTTTACACATTATTGTAATTTGTCCTAGTTCTAAAACAGCAAAATATGAGTTGTAAGTTGTAACTAGTTTTGTATAATGCACAATATATTTCAAAAGAATTTCATACCTTTTAAGAAAATCTCTTGGTTTTGGTTTACATATAGCGAATTCAAGTTAAATTATGACAAATTTACTCTATTTTTTTTGTATTTTTAAGGTCAAATTAAAAGAAATTAAAAGTACATGGATTAAAATGGAAAAATTTAGAAATTAAGGCAAGCAATGAGTTTGCTCCATTCTCAAACGCCAGGATTCGAATCCCTGACCTTGCTTAAGGAACCTAGTACCTCATCCCACTAAACCAATTAGTTGTTGGTAAAAATCCGACTTTAAATTCACTGAAACCAACATATATTCAAGACATTTTAATAACGATGCCAGTTTAACTAATATACATTCAATAACAAAAGAAATTTTATAAGATTCCAAAGTACATTAGTTTATTATTTCAAATGGAAAGATCAAATTCAAGATTGCTACGGCTCCTCACCAAAGTATACATACATCATTTCATGCATGTGAACTAAAAGGGCGTGTAAATTTGCATCTGATTCAAGATATGTTGAAAATTGTCGATTGGCTTGTCTATGTGATGCGTGTGAACCCCTTCGTAAGTGGTGAGAACCACAGTTTCATCTTTGGTTAGACGTTGGACTTGCTTCTTCACATTGCATCCTTGATGTGTGCATCGATAGTAGTTTCTGTACACAGAAATAGACGTAAGATTTTGTGTTGGGAGAGTAAATTTATAAAATTTATGGGAGGGTAAAAATATATTATCGATATAAAATACATAACAAAATATCTTAATTATATGAGAATTTAAAATTTTCAACACTGCTCTCTCGCCAACCCTCTCCATCCATCCTGTATGTACATGCAACATTATATCATCACCCAACTGAGCTCAAAACCATGCATGCAACTAAATTAATGGGATTAATCGTACTCGAATTCGAGTAAATGTGTATAATACGAGTGAGTATGTTGAATTTTTCTGAGTAATTCCATATGCATGCATGCAAGATGATCATTACATGTGATGTAACAAAAGATGTAAGAAAAATTAGCTGAAAATCATGAAAAAGAAAAGCAAAATTAAAACCTTGGGAATTTGTTGTTCTTAACAGCCTTTTGCCCATATTTCCTCCAACGATATCCATCATCAAGAATATCAACTCGACTCCTTGTTTCAAAAGCATATCTATGCTTCTTAATCTTCTTCCCCTTCTTTCTGCAACAATCACCGCCGGTTGATTTTATCTCAATTTCAGGCCCGACAAATCTGCCGTTTTCGACAAGTTCCTTAACTTCTGCTACCTGGTTGAACCTGCCTGTCTTCATATCCGGCAACAACCCAATCGAAGTATCCCCATGAAAATTATCGAAAAGCACTTGAGAAAAATTATTCTCCATGTTTGATGGTGATGACACAGGAAAGAACATTTGATAATTCTCCATATGAAGAAGAAGAAGAAGATCAACTGCAAAAGAAGAGGCGGCGGGCTTGAAATGAAGGCTAAAAAGATTTACATGTACTCAACAAAGAAGGATTAGTAAAAGAAGGTGAAGAAAACAAAGGCATATTTATGGGGTATAGTTGTCGTGGTGGACCCCACAATTTTATTATTTTAAAATATTTAAAATATATGTTTTATTACCGATAAATTATGCATTTAATATCTAAACTATCAGTTTTTATCTGTTTTAGTATCTACAATTTCAATTTTTTCGAAGTCATATCTAATGTTTAGTTTTTGTTTCATTTAAGCATCACACTAATAAAAACTTTAGATATGATTTTGAAAAAAATAAAAGTTTAAATACTAAAATATATCAAACTGATAGTTTAGATGTTAAACGTGTAATTTACCCTTTTATTATTTAATTTTAAAAATATATAATAATTTAACTTTAACCTAAATAATAAGACGATTTAAACTTGGTTTTTTTTTAATATTGTGTAGTAGTCTCGTGATATATTATTGTTTGTTAATGAAATTGTTCCTTAAACTCGATCTATTTGAATCTTATATATTTATATTTAAGATTTAATTTAAAGTAAATTAGATTCATTCAATTGAACGAATAAATAAATCTGAATTTAATTAAAATGACGTAATTTCACACGTGTAAAAGAAATTTCCTAATTTTATTAGTTATATATATTTAAAAATTTTCGGCTGGTGGGACTGCGCCTCCTCCTCTCTTTCCTGGAAAGATGATCAAAGTTAATGCTATATCAATGTAGCTCTTTTTCCTTAAAAGAAATTAGGAGTACAAAACAGCCGGCCGGTTTACTATGAGATGATGATTAAGACTCCTTTATTTATGAATATTTGATTTAGTTTTTCTAAATTCATATTATTATAAATTTAGATAATTTATAAATTAAAATATCAAAATTATAAATTGTGTGGATTTGAAATAGATATCGATACACATCATCGGATATAAATTATCTTTTAACGATAGAAATTGAATTTTATTGATAAAAATAATGGAATAGGTCAAATTTACAATGCATCTAAGCATAGAGGAAAAATGGAGACAATAATCATTAAAAAAAGTTAACGAAAATAAAAATATTAAACCTAAGATACGAAGATAAACGAAATATTTCTTTGAGAATGACGATCAATATCAAAATAAGCCAATAATACTAATAAAAACTTCTTGTCTCTATAAAAAAATGTTTACAAAGTGATAAAAAGAGTGGTGAGCGAATCAAATTATCTGTCAGGTTGATTCGCTACGCAATTCTTGTTATATCGACAAACAACATTTTATTAAAAAGGTCGAGATCTGACTGTATGTGACCACTGACAAATCAATCAGAAAATAAATGTCGTGAGGGTCTTTATGCGAGCACCAAAATGATCAAAAAAGTATGCAAACCAAAAGCCATAAGAATTGTGTCACAAAACCATAGAAAACATGGGGCACAAAAGCATAAAAAAATGTGTCACAAGTACAAAGATTCTTATTTAAAATCGAAAAAAATAAAAAATAAATAAAAAAACATAATAAAAAATAACTAATAAACACTTATTGCCGACAATCAATGTTAAGATAGTAACAAAAATCAATAGAAAAAATAAGTCAACACAAAAATATTGAGAAAAAATATATATAAAAATATTATGAAAAAATAATTATTTCTTATATATTCATTATCTGAATTTTCATTTTTATATTGGAATTTGACTTGAAATTATAAAATAGTGAATAATTTTATGTATTTTGAATAAATCAAATATTCAAACATAATCATAAAATTTTAACATTAAATTAACTTCAAACCTTTATGATGGGTTATCATCTAATTTATTGATGATACATAATCGTATTTAGAGATGGACCGAGGGGACGGGTGAGGCAGTTATCTTGAAAATTTAAAAATACTATCTATTTTAGATTTTTTTCTATGTATATTTTTATTGAAAATATGTTTTCGCCCCTCTGAAATTTTATAAGTTCAAGTTCACCTCCTAAAATTTTAAAAGTTCAAATTCTCCCCTAGCATAAAATCAAACTTCCGTCCCTGGTCGTATTCATTCGATATATTTATAGGATAAAATTTTAATATACTACATTATATGCATACTTTATATTTGGAATTAATTAATAGAAATCTAGATTTTTTGAGTTGTAAATTTGACGTTAAGATAGAAACATACATTAGTGGCGTATCTATCTATTTTTTCCACTCATGGTTGGTTTGGTGGGTGGGTGGATGTATGTATGTATGTATGCATGCATGCATGCAAGAATCATGAATCTCACCAAATCAATAGATCCTACACCATTCTTTTATATTTTACGGAATTCGGATTATATTCTAAAATTTATTAAAGAATATTCATACGGTTCATATCTTTCCTTATTAAAAAAAGTGAATGTTTAAACATCAAATATCATACCTTCACAAAATATACAAAGGCTTATATGATTGGATAAATGATTTTTAAAAATTAAGAAAACGAGATAAATATGAAATAAATTATATACAATATGAAGTTAAACATAGTTTGATCATGTTTATCAATATGGATGGGAGAAGAAGAAAAATCAGTTATACAACACATATTACAAATAGTATAAGTACTTCTTCGTATCTTAAAAATTCGATATATTTTTAATAAACATGATATATTATTAAAATTCTATCAACATGCCTAAAAAACACATCATTCATACAAAAATTTCAAAGTATTGTTTTCTAATAATTCCATTTCTCATAATTCTAATTATAAAGGTCAAGATCTTCTCTATGTTTGTAGCGTCAAGAACTTGATCATAAAAGAATCTTATTCTATAAGAATTATTAATTAGTAAACTTAATCTTCAATTAGTATAATTAACAGTGTTTTGAAAATCGGACTGGATCGGCCGGTTCAACCGGGAACCGCTGTCTAGTCCGGTTCAATATACACAGGTTGAACCGCTATTAGTGAACCAGTTAGAACCGCTGAACCGTTCGAACCAGACCGGCTGAAAACCGGAAAAAACCGCCAATTTAATTTATTTTTTTTAAAATTAAACCAAACGAAGTCGTTTGTTAAACGAGCCAAGTCGAACTCGAGTATTGCTGAGCTCGACTCGAACATAAAAACTTTAAAAGTAAGCTCAACTCGACTCAAACTCACGAGCTAACAACTATCAAATTCAACTCGAACTCGAAATATAATATTGAAACTTGAACTCGAAAAGGCTTGAACTCAAAAAAAAATTAGAAGCTCGATTGAAGCCTAAAATTCGAGTTTGATTGAAGTGAAATAATAATTCACTCAATGTTCACCAAAAGGCTCAATGATTTTGAATGTCAAATTACCTCTATTATTTATAGAAGTTAGTTGGGATGCTCTTCTATATTTCTTAGCCATGTGAGATTGTTTTGTTCTCATATTTTTACTCTTTAGACTTCTGGGATGCTCTTCTATGTTTCTTAGCCATGTGAGATTTTTTTTTAAAAAAAATTAAACCAAACAATATCATTTTGTTATGATTTTTTAACTCCAAATTTATTTTTTAATTATAGTTATATAATTATATATTATTTAATATGTTTTACTTTAAATATTATGTTGTAGTTAATTTGAATCATTTTGTTTAACTTGATTTTATGGTTTTTAACTTATATATGTTATGACTTGCTTTGAATATGACTTATGATATAAAAAATTATTTTTTATTAAATATTTTTTGGTATTTTTATTTAATTTTTTAAATAATTATGACATCGTCCGGTCGGATCGATTCGACCGGTTAAACCAGTGAACCGGTAGCATGACCGGTTCGCTAACCGATCCAGTTTTGAAAACCATCGGTTTTGAAAACCATGATAATTAATAAACTTCGCAAGAGAATCTAATGCTTCTACACAAGGACGAAGCCACGATTCCAACTCGAGGGGGCAAAGTATATTAATCATAAAAATGAAGGGGACACAGTATAATTAACCATATAAAATGAGATGAACAAAATCAAAATAAACTAAAATTTAGAGCTCTAATTTAATATTTTTCCCATATATTTTTTTAATAATAAAAAAATGGAGAGGCAGTGGCCCCGGGCCAAAGGGCAGTCAAAGAAGAAGACTGGCTATGAAAAAGATGACAATGGATTGTCTTGATATGTAGCTTAAACTCGAAGAAAGTATTTGATGATGTTAAACATATAAATTCAAATTTATCGATTATTATTATTTTTATAACTATTTTTTATCTAAAGAGGAAAAAGAATAACTTTAACTCTTAATGGATATTAAAGTCATAATTTATAGAAGATGAAAATGTCAATTGAGAACATTTTAATCATTTATTCTAGGGATTGTCGTTATCAAATATATACTTTAAATAAAAATAATATGAATAGATTAAATAAAATTTATAAATATTTTGATTTTTTGATAACAAAGAATTGCATGCTACAAGAATAATAGAAAGGATATTAATATTAAAATTTAATATCAAAGAATAGCATGCTATAAGAACAAGAGAAAGATATTAAAATTAAAATTTAAATATAAATATATTAGTAAATGTTGTTTTTAACGTACGACTATATAAAGTAACAAAATTAAATTCCAAATTCATAATTCATAATTCATAATTCATAATTCAATTTTCATTGCCGTTTGTATCGGGCTTGAATTCCAATAAACAGCTGCCATTTTTGAATGATTAACAGTAATCTAGAATGGTGTAATAATTTATTTATTTTCCCAGATAAAGAGAGAGGTTGAAACCTATACTATTTTATATTTTCTCAAGATTATTCGAAAAATAAATATTGTTTTTCCATAAATTTTAGATTAAAGCAACTTTAAACATATATTATTTTATATTTTCTCTAGGTTATTCGAAAAATAAAATAATATTTTAAATATTTTAAATAAGATTATATGTCTGAATTTTGATGTTGAGAACGTTGGATCAGTGAAAATCTTCTCATTTCCTAATTTTATTTTCAACCGTCTATTGTCACTCATTCAAGTATCTTAAATCTGTGTAAAACTAAAACAAATTGTATTGTTTAAATAGATCTTAACTCTTAAGAAATGATAATATTTTATTTGATTTAATTGATTAATATATTAAATATCGATAATTAAATAAGGGTTTACTACACGAATTATCACTTATGTTTCTGTTTTGTCCACTTTTGGTCATTGATTTTAAAAAAATATGGTCACTTTCTCTTTTATTTAATTAAGATGTGATTACCTCGAGTTAACTGTTGTTAACAACAGTTAAATATTTTGATATAATCACACATTTGGTCCACATTATTTACATATTCTCTCAATTTAATCATACTTTTAATAAATTAAAATGAATTTAATCCTCCTATCGGATGATGCCACATGTCATGCCATGTGTCACCATTCGATTGGAGGACTAACATTATTTTAATTTAATATATTTATTTCCACCAATTAGAGTGTGACATGTGTCACCATCTGGTTTAAAGAAAACAAAGAAAAAGCAAATTGGGGCAAAAATGATTCAAACTTTTGTCACTTAAGAAACTAAACATGTATCCAATCATTAAGCCAAGACTAGGGATGGAAAACGGGCGGGTCGGGTGCGGATACCCCCTCCCCCATCCCCATACCCACCTAATATTTTTCATTCCACCACCCGCCCACCATCATGATGGGTACAAATTTTCAAATCCACACCCGCCCACGCGGGTACATTTTCAAATCCATCCCCACACCCACTATCCATTAGCGACATACTCATCTAGACCCGCCTGACAGCAAACTAATGGGATGTTGGAGTTGGTTCCCATATAGTTCGTGATGGGGTAGCAACGCATGCTTCAATTTGTCAGAGGAATGGCTCTACGAATGTTATAGAGACAAATTGTAGGGAGCATGTAGTTACAGATCTGGATTGTTGAGTTGCTTTTGATGTTAATGCTCATAGTGCACCTAATATGGGTTTTGAGGGGCTAAAGAACATGGAAATTGCTGCTTTTGATGTTAATGCATATAATACGGCTAATTTGTGTTTGGATGAGCAGTATGGGCTAAAGAACATGGAAAGTGACGTGGTTAGTGGGATTATGGGTTTAATCAAAGAGCCGAATATTTCCCTAATTAAATACCAGATTAAAGACTAAATATCCTTAATATTTGGTTAAAATTATATGTTATATATTATACAATATTAAAATTTATAAATTAGTCTCTAAAATTACACCTAAATTCATAATGGTCCAAAATTTAATAGATATTTAGCTGGGCGGGCGGATGCGAGGCTGGTAATGTCTCAAACCCATTACCCGCCCACCACCCACGACGAGTACCACTTTATAAATCCACACCCGCCTACTACCCGCTAAAATTATACCCATCCCCGCTCCAATTGGAGCGGATGCGATGCGAAATCCACGAAATTGTACCCGTTTGTCATCCCTAGCCAAGACCATTGTTTGGTCTAAAGTAGACAACATGGTGTATATATTTTATATGTTAGTGTATAAATACTTAAATTCATAATATTATATATATTAACTTAAACAATACTTTTTATATTAACTTATTAAATATATTTTATTATTAATTAAAATTAAAAATATTTTATTTTTACTTTCATTTAAAAATATATATTTTATGTTGAAATTTATTTAAAAGTATGATTAAATTGAGAGAATATGTAAATAAAAGGACCAAATGTGTGATTATATCAACTTTCACGCACATATTCTGTTAATTGTTAACATCAGTTAACATGTGATGACCACATCTTAATTAAATATAAAAACGAAAGTGATCATATATTATGTTTTTTGAAACCCGTGATTAAAAGTGAATAAAATACAAACATAAGTAATCATTCGTGTAGTTAACCCATTAAATAAAGAAAATCTTTTTGTGGGTAGCCGAAAAGGAAGAATGAGAATGGATTGACGGCACAATGGTTATCCCACTAACAATTTTAATCATTTGAATCTAGACTAATATTGGGGGGTTGTTCCCATCAAATGTCTTGCTACATTTGGCCTCGTTTTATTCATTGCCCGATCGTTCAAGTCAAACACAAGGGGAAACACCAAGGAAAAATCCTTGTAAAAGTAAAGAATCATTGGGTGTTTGAATTAACACATCGATTCCTAGGCTGAATTGCACCACAGATTCTCAAGCTATATCCGGTTTTTAAAATTAATTATCCGATAGAACTAGGGATGGGCATGGGATCGAACTCGACGGATTTTGATCTGATCAGATATAATCGAGCTGGATTTTTTTAAAAAGAAGTTCGGGTCGGATCGGATCAGATCAGATCAGATCGTTTTTTTAATGTGTTGTTTGGGTCGGATTCGGGTTTAGGGTAAAAATATCCGACCCGGCTCGAAAATATATATAATTTTACCTTATATATTTAGGTATAATTACAATAATACCCCTCTATATATTATTTTTTTCAATTAAGTAACTGTTTTTATTGAATAAAAATAATTTTTTTATTGTTTCGGGTCGGGTTTTTAATTTATATATCAGGTCAGGTTCGGGTCGGGGGAAAACTTATTTTAGTCGGGTCAGGTCGGGACTCGGGTGAAAGACTCCTTGTTCTCGGGTCGGGTGGACCAAAAACCCGACCCTTGCCCATCCGGCCATCCCTAGATCGAACATTAAATTTCAATTCCCATTTAATATGAAATATATTCTAAATATAAAAAATATTCTAAATATAAAAAATGTGTAATTAAATATACACAATCTTAATTATTTTAATGTTAAATCCTAAACATCAAACCTTAAATTCTAACCTCTAGACTCAAATTCAAAACTATAATCTTAAAACTTTAAACACTAAATCTTAAATAATACAAATAGCATTGAAATGGACATGAATGTGTAAATTAAATTTTACACAATACGTTTTCAAATAATTTTCTTTTAAATTATATAGATTAAATTTTAAATATGTTTGTACATATTGTTTGGATAATTTAATTTTTACATGTTAAATATCAAATAAGTACTCAAACTATAGCGTTCACAAATAGGTGCTTAAAGTATATTTTGACTCATCTCGGAGTTTAATGTTACAAACGTTACTATTTTAGGTGTTCAGGTGTCAATGACGTTAATTTCTTCCGTTAAGTGACACATGTCACGATCTGATAATTTTAAAATTTATTTTTATAAAAATATTATTATATTTATAAAAAATATTAATTTCTCATCAATTATAAAAAAGCCCCAAAATCCCTAAAATTCTCATATCCTAAACTTAACCCCCGTCGTCCTTTCCGACCATGAACACCGTCGCCGACGTAGTCTCTGCCATCATCCTAGTTATACATTATCATAGTTGCCGTCAATTGGCTGTTGGAATCGCGTGAGATCGATATTTTCATCCTAGTGTTTGCGGATGTAAATTAAAATAATATTTTATCGGTCAATTTAGGAATTTAAATATGAACATTTAAAACCAACAACCAATTGGTCTAGTAGATGAGACACTAAATCCCTTAAGCAATATCAGATGTTCAAATTTTGATATTTACGAATGAAATAAACTGGGTTTACAAGGTTACTCTCATAATAGGCCTTTACAAAATCTAATTTGAAATAGACAATCAATAAATCAGATATTTGTAATTAAACAAAAAAGTATAAACATTTTAAAAAATGAATGCATCATATTTAAAATTTATTACCAAATCACAATAAGTTTAAGGAGAAAATAAAGAAAATTTAGTTCCACAATATATGAAATTATTTAAAGTAACCGATGGTCCGTTTGGTTCAAGAAAATATAGGCTATTTTATTTTTATTTCTTAGAAAATAGAAAACATTGAAAAAAACATGTTTGATGGTAAAATTAGAAAATGATTTCTATAAATTAAAAACAAAAATAAGTGAAAATATTAAAACATAAAAAAGATGTTTTAAGCATTTTCATTAAAATTATTTTGGAAAATTGAAAATAGAAAAATACTAAATTTAGATTTTTAACTTAACTTACACATGTTTAAATCTTTCTAACAATAATTTTTTGACTTAATGGTATATAAAATCCTCAAACTTTTGGAAAAAATCACTATGGTTCTTAAACTTTTGTTTACACTCAATGTGGTTATTAAACTAATTTTTTTAAAAATTTAATTTTTAACAATTTTATATTTAATGTTTTAAATATCTTAATAAATGTTTATATTTTATATTTTAAATTTAAATAATAACTTATTTTAAAAAAAAATTAAATAAGTTCTCAAATTGTCTAAAATATTAATTAGGCCCTTAAACATAATAAAAAAAATCAATTAAACTCATTTACCACATCATTATCCATCGTGCTCTACACAACAATATAATGAACTGTCATATAAATATTGTAGATTATCATGTAAACTTTGTGAACCGTCATTTAATCGTCTTGAAGATTTTATTCAGTATGTCAAAAATTTAAATAGATTTTTTTGTGTTATGGAATTTCTTATCAATTTTATTGTTTTTGCAAAACTCACATGTTAAATTTATGTAATAAATTTTTAATAATTATATTTTAATTATTTAATAACTATTTATTTATCTCTATTTTAAAAATTTAGATACCAAATATATTTTCAAAATTTTTATTTTTGAATTTCATCTTTTATTTATATTAACCAAACATGTTTTATAATTTTCAAAAAATTGAAAATGAAAACTATTTTATAAGAGTAAAAACAGAAAACTATTTTCTAGAACCAAATGGAACCCAAATTTCTTGAAATAAGAAGAAAATGTTTAGGGTTCTTTTATTAAATATTTTTGAAATTATAATATAATAATGCATAAAAAATACCAATTTTTTATTCGATTTTTCTTTTGCTAAAAAAAGGTGTTGGGCTTTCTGTAGTGATCCAATGGAATTTTTGGTCCATTAAATCGAATCCTAAACCCACCATAAATAAATAAAAGGCTCATCCACTTTCAGTCCCGCCAAACGCCCGCTGTACCGCCGTCGACCACCGCGTTCCTCCACTCTTCCACCACGTAGTTACCAGTCGATTCACATCTCTTTATTTCCATAATCTTAATATTGAATTTTACCATATTTTGGAGCCCAGGATGGCGGCTTTTGCTTTCTCAGCTTCGTCTTTGTTCGGTTCGAGAATTAGCGAACCATTAACCTTAATCTCCTCGAAACCGCCGTCCATGTAAGCGTCTTAACCAGCATAATGTCACTAATCCTTATGAATAAAGGAAATTGTGCAAACTACTTTTTTTTGGCAGGTTGAACTTCAAAAGAACTCCACTGATTAAAATCTCATGTGATTACTCTTGCTTGGAAGTAAGTTTTTTCTTCTTTTTAATTGAATTTAAATTCTCACTAATTTAAAAGTTTTTTATGATTTTAAGGAACTGACTGTTTCTTTTTGATGTATTAACCTTTTATTTTTGTGTTGTTGTTAATGGGGTTTGCTTGTTTTGATTGAATGGTAATATTGAAACTGATGGACTTTGCTGAAACCATGTAATCTTCTTGGTTGATGCTCTTTCTGGTACTTACATTGGTATAACACTTCTCATTTCAAGGTTAAGGATGTTTATTATCGACCTCCAGGGACACAGATTAACCTTCTGAATGGAGTTAGCTTTTCTCTTCCGGAGAAAAGGTAAATGCTTGTAAACAATAGAAAAATACCATTTTAAAATTAATGTTGCATAGGGAATACTGTTAGGAACACTAGATGATTATCAGCTGATCTGATGAAGCTCTTAAAAAAGACGAAGAGAATGGTCATAAGACATTTGAATATCCTGTCAACCATCTACTCTGTTGAAGCAGATCTAAAGTTGCATCATAGAATGAATGGTTCAAAGTTGACCTTTTGTTTTGTAGTAAATGGTTTGTGTGAATTGCTGCAGCTTTGGCTTAATTTTTGGACAGAGTGGAAGTGGAAAAACTACCCTCTTGCAGGTCTGCCATATATGTTTGTGTGTTTTTTTAATCATTCGTTTTATATGCCTTGTATGTCTTCTTACTTTTTTTTTTATTCTTTCAGCTACTTGCAGGGTTGAGCAAACCAACGTCAGGTTCTATTTGTATTCAGAGATATACAGATGAAGGCAAACCAAATCAATCTCCGAAATCTTTAGTCCCACAAAGAGTTGGTATTGTCTTCCAGTTCCCAGAGAGGTACCTCATATCAACTATAAAATACTGTTTGTCCTTTTTTTGTTTTCTAGGGTTTTGGATCTCTTGATTGCTGCCTACTTTTAATTTTTTTCTTCATGAGTCTTCTTTTGCATGTTCGCTGGACTTTTGAGTTTTCTGAAGTAGGCATGTTTTGGCAATCTTTTAGAGTTGTCTTATTTACGTATATGTTTTTTTTCTGGTTCTGTACTTGTTAATGGAAACTCTTGCTTCTGTAATTAATGCAATATTTTATGCCGATCGAGCAACATGAATCTTTATTTGGTTAATGCTTTTTAGGTTTAAGACCAATTAGTAATTTGAACTCATCTTCTTAAGCTGATCTGTATCTTAGTTCATGTTCTTATATATTCTGAAAATTGTTTTATGGTATGTTCCTGGCAGGTATTTTGTAGCGGACAATGTACTTGATGAAGTTACATTTGGCTGGCCAAGGCAAAGGGGTGGACCTCAGTTGAAGGAGCATCTTGCATTAAATCTCCAAAGAGCCTTTAATTGGGTGGGCATGCTAGTATATTTTTTTTTATCTGCTTGGGCCTTGGGGTCATTAAACTTTTCCTCTCTCCTATATATGACTTTTAGTGAGGATTTGTTCTTAAAGGCTTCATCTTTGCCAAATCTAACACGAATTCTTTAAATGATGTTAGGTTGAATTGATGATCATATAATTTTTCTAATATACTTGTTGTCATTGAACTTTACCTCTCACCTATCTACATTTAGTGGGTATTTGTTCTTAAAGTGTTCATCTTCGCCTAATCTAAGATGGATTCTTTAAAGTATGTCAGGTTGGATTGAATGGTATCACCCTGGATAAAGATCCTCACTCATTGAGTGGTGGTTACAAACGCCGACTTGCTCTTGCAATTCAATTAGTAAGGATTGAAGATAGTAATTTGCGATGTGAAGTGCAATTTTTAAACAATGACATTTACTATGTCAATTCAAGTGTGATTATTTATATCATAACATGTTTTCTAGTCACTGATTGTTGTTCTTATTTTATGCCCTTTTTCATTATCTGATGGCTGAAGGCACAAATCCCTGACTTATTAATATTGGATGAGCCTCTTGCTGGTCTCGGTATGACATTGCTTTTTTCTATTCTGTTTTTCCTTACATTTCTGTTATCTTCTGTTCATGATATAGTTTAGAAACTAGAGTTCCTGGATGGAACATTACTTGTGAAGTGATTTCAGAATAACCAACAATTTTTGCTAATTGATTTAACTTTGACATGATCTATAAATAGTTCATTTTCAGTTTTTTCTACCTTCTAAATTTTACCATTGCTTATGCTTCGGCAAAATCAGATTGGATGGCACGTGCAGATGTTGTGAAACTTTTGAAGCATCTGAAGAAAGAATTAACTATACTTGTTGTCAGCCATGATCTCAAGTAAGCCTTAGCTTCTGATTTACCATTCTAGTTTATTTCCATTGGAATGCTATATTAATTGTACAATATATAGCATATGATGTCTTAACTGGGGAAAAAACAACTGCATAAACCTTAATCGATTCATTCGATCTCAATGCTGTCTGCTGTCCTTTAACAGGTCTTTTTCAAATAAATGACTTGTATAACTTAACCAAACCAAGCTGACATATGTTGTACCTGAACCCCTTTTATGATCTTAGTGATCCGATCCAAGATGCAATAAATCAAATTTTGTTTTTTATGATTCTCTTTTGATAGCATGTGTTTATACTTTCAGCTTATGGAGTTTTTGGTTTATTTTCAGAGAGTTAGAAGATTTCGTTGATCGATCTTGGAGGATGGAAATGGGTGGATTTCTGAGGGAAGAGCAGCTAGTTGTTTAGTATAGGACATTGCCTGGTTGGTTGACATTTCTTTCTGAGGTTTTATAATCTCTCTTTTCCTTCAAGTTTTCTGAGTAGATTCAGGTATTGATGTATCTCAATGATGCAATTCCTTGAGGTGCATTACATGCGGACCCAGATTTTCTCAAGAAAGAATTCAGACAAGACTTAAAAAGTGCACATAAACACATCTTCAGAAGTCTACAAAAAACTAATTGCATAACTTTGTTATGACACCCAGAGGGATGAGGCATATTTCTCCTAATAGGCTTCTTTTATTGAGACTGTTAACACACTCGAACACTTTACGACGGAGCTGAAATGGTAAAGCCACAAGATTGCTGAAAGCTATTAGTAAGCATTTGTTGCCATTCCTTCATTACAGCTCCAACACCAAGTCTACAATAGCAGCAGCATAAGATGGGCAGACATGTTATAAAAAACTAGTTACTCAATTACTTGATCGCAATTCGCAAAGCTCAATACAATCTATTTTGCTACTCTATATGTTAACATCACAATAATAAATGGGTTTAGGAATATATTTCTGAATATGTAAAAAAATTGTCTATTCATTGGTTAAATATGAATGACAATTCTAACGGTGTATTAAATATTAGTTTAATTATATATATGTTTGCGCGTGTGTACTTTTTTGGGGGAAAAAACCTTGATCTGTTCAGCATTGTGATGATTATTCATTTAATCATTTTCCCTTTCAACATCATTATTGAATTTTTTGGTTTAAACTTTTTTATGGTTTGTACTTTGGAATCAACCATTTAAACATTGGCAACTAAGTGAATGCCTGAAATAGTTGGAATATGCACCAATTATATCTTTTTCAGGGGGTGCGTGATACTTACAGTCTGCATCCGTTTTGATCCAGTGCTCCCCATTTGAACTTGCAGTTGTAGAGCCATTAACCCCATATTGAACTTACAGTGTGTTCCGACCTCGGACATTGATCCCTGAGAACCCGACAGAGGGCATTTCTCCGAATGATATTTCTTCTATGCCTAGCCTGCCCAACATAGTATACTAAGGTGCCCTATGCTATCTCTAGTACGAGACTCGATAGATTAAAGATGCCCTGACATAACCAATTGGCGTAAACCCATACAGTAATCCTATTGGTCTAGATAACAGGATATGTCTCGACAATACCTTTTTGTGACAACATTAACATCTAACCTATCGTTTTTGCACAACTCCTTTTAGTCGAATGAAATCCTAACCTTATCTCTAATGTGGATTAGGCCTAGTTACTACCTAGAAACCCTTGCTTATGTAGTTCCTCCCTAGTTTCTCTTGAAACTAAGGATAATTTGCCAAGACATTCTCTCGAACCCTCAAGACCTCCTAAGGAAAGGCTACTCTCGTAGCTCCTACAACCTTAAGGCATTAAGTTTCATAAACAAAACAGGTTAAAGCATAGAAAAACAACCATTCATTGAAATATAAACTTAAACATCCAAGCGAACTCCCACCAAATAGGATTAGTTCATGGTGGGGTTAGAAATAAACAAGCACAAAGCAAGTTTCATTCGTTCCTTACAACCCAATAACAAAATATGAAAGCAAAGAACAAAGGGGAGGAGAGTAAGCCTTCGACGTGCACTGCCCAATGCTTCCCTCGGCCACCAAAAAACTGCTCCCAGCGAACTGGCTCCTCTCGGATGCTCAGGACGCCACTCCCTCAGGCTTGTCTGGAAGAAATGCCACGTCAAGTAGGATTGACGGAGAAAGATGAGACCTTCTCTCTCTAACTTTTTAAGCTCAATTCTAGGTGGAACCAAAGTCTTCAACAATGTGGCTTTATCCTCTATTTATAGGGGAAAACTAATCCTAGGACTTGTTGACTTTCCTAGGAAACCTCAAAACCATGGTTAAATTGCTTGGGAGTCGGACAGGACAGGCTATGATACAGCCTGGGTAACTGACTGAGTGACTGGCATAATCCCGTTGCAGGCGCCCAAGGACAGACAGGATCTGTAGGGTCAGGCGGCGTCATCAGCAGAACCGGCGGTTGCAGTGCCGGTCCCTCCAGGCGGATCTTCGAGGTGGATTCCTCAGGCAGAGCTCTCGGAAAGTCGGAGACAGCTGGCTTCAAAAATATCTTCTAGCACTTTAAGCGCTATCGAAATGCCAGTCGAACTTGGCAATTTCATTTTGCTCAGCAATCTCCTTGCTTTCAATTTCTGCACATCATCTAACAAACACCTTTCCCATAAGGCAGCACCGCTTTAAAAATAAAATGACACGGCAAACTGAATTCCACCACATGAAACTAAATGCTTCTAAATGCATCTACATGGGTCTAAATGAGCTATTAGACACTCAATAACTTAAGTGAAAAGGTCCCAAAATGTGACCTTTTACGGAGTTATCAAATAACAACTGTAAGAATCTAATAAATTTGAGAGTTACCTTCATTTTGTTCTTGTTTTGAAGAGCTTGATTGATGTCAGATTGTTTTGGTTTTTCATAGGAATTCGGTGTGGAACTGTGGATATAGATATTTTAGATGAATAAATAGAGAAACGTCTAGGATTTTTGCATCATTATTTGTAACAATCAATGAGCTTGTGATCGCTTGAAGGGTATGAGATGGCTATTGAGTGGAGAGAAACAAGTAGAAAAATACAGATTTTGGTTGGCTGCACTATATCAATATCAAATTGAAAAACTGAGTGATTCATAGACACTCGACTCCATGAGTGTCATCTCTGTCCTGCATTAAATGCATTGTTGTATGTCCGTGGCTACCTGAACGTATGCAAGATCGGCATAGCCATTGATCATCAACTATTATTAATTCTTGATGTTGATGAGTTTATCATGTCTATCCTATATCAGATGATCATATATTGTTTATTGAGAAGCATGCAAACATATTCATATGCGTAGACACGTTCACTTCAGTGTACTTGTATGATTACTTTAGGACATGTATTTTGTTATAGGGTGCTACCACCATTACGGGGACTGGAACTTTATGGTAGGACATACATACAGGTATCTACCTCGAAAAGGTCCCCATCTATTGTACTGATGTCAACGTGGTTTTTTTTCCAGCTAAAATATCTCAAATAATCTTATATGTTAGGAACTACAATTATTGGCTTCAGAGGTGCTTTCAGTTGAAGCTTGGTGAAATCTGCAACATTGCTAAACTGTTGGCAGATGATAAACCATAATCATGCATTTGCTTAAATTTATGTTAATGATTTATTTGATACCATGTTCCGTAATTTGTTATAATTTTAGACCCAATTAAAACGGAAACATCTACACTCATATGGGACAGCAGAGGCAAGTTTCACTGTATAATTTGTATTACTATGCTTTTCTTATTGTGAACGATCATGCTAATACATCTGTACATCTCATATGGGATGTAGGGCAGAGGCAAGTTTCACTTTATGATTTGTATTTCTTTGTTTCATTGTGAATGATCCTGTTAATAGATCTCTACAAATTGCAGCTTCCATAAATTGAAAAACCTCGACTTCACCATGCAATAATGTCATCGTAGTCGTTTTTGGAAGAAAGTGACTGGATTGCCCCAATTATTGCATTCTAATTCCAGGACAAGAGCAAAGAATGCACTACACATGACATTGTGTTGCCTGAATCAAACCCAGATTTGATGTTGAACATGTGAATCCCACATGGCAATTCCAATGGCTACGGCAATTCCATTAAATATTGTGTTGCCTGAGGGATGTGACCCCCGACAAAATTTCACAGTTCATTCCTATTCCAATGGCTACGGCAATTCCACTCTATATTGGAGTTTACTTTGCGGTCGACATGTTTGTCGTAACAGTAATCTTGTACGTATGTAACAGTAATCTTGTACGTATGGGAACGGATTAACCAGAAGGATGCAGAGGATTACGCAGGTGTGGTCGCTTCAGGTTTAATTTGTGGTGATGGTATTTGGACCATACCATCAGCCATACTTTCTATCATGATCAATCCGCCTATCTGCATGTACTTTGGTCCATCTCTGAGTAGTTGATTAGGAAAACCACTGGCTATGATATGCTGCAAGCTGCATCAGTGCCTGTATGGAAGTGTATTGTAAGAAGTGGAAGGTTCATTGGATTCTGTACATGTGTCTGTTCTTTCATGTATTTCCAGTAATGAATTTTAAGACGAAAATCTCACAATAAGTTGTTTGGTTTCAGTAAATGGCTTGTATGAATCTCAAAATCGGTTTTACGAGAAATATTTCCGTTCATATGAACCACTACTGATCTAAATATTTTTTTGTGCTCTTACAAGAAACATAAAATGATTTCTTTGAATAGCATTTGATGATCGGAAAAGATCAACTAGATTAACAGTTCGCTACTGATCTAAATATTTTTTTAATAGAAACAGGAGCCATCAGCACCCTCTCTCTGCTGCCTTTGGCACGCAAATTGTACCTCTCCCGTCTTGATGTTAACTGTTACAGTATTTTTGTGTGTCGATCGGTTTCTTGTGTACCGGGAAAAATGTAGTATCTGCAGAGTTTTGGAGGAGAAATGAAGGCAACGCAGGTGCTGACCATGGTCTTTCTTGAAGAAGATAAATCTCACAATCGACCTTTTGATAAGCTTTTAAATTTTCATCTTTTAAAGACGTTACAACCGAGATGAATGCTATAGGAACATTGGTAACTCCAAAGAATGATCTATAACTCGTATAATAAACATATAAATAAAATCAAAGCCTAACGAAGTGGGCAAAACATTCTAGTTGATTATTATTACAAGCATCTCAGATGAGATCATTACTTATTGTAAACTACATACAATGTATGTGAGGTTAGGTTAAACAGTAGACTATTCTCATCACAGAGAAGAAAAAGAGTTGCAGCGCAAGCATGACAATGGCACCATCAGACTTAGCTGAACAGCCCGAACTCTTCCCCACAAACTCACCCGAGCTCGGTACGGGTGCAAAGGCTTCTGAATCTGGCCATTGCGGTGGAGCTTCAGTAGGGAAAAATGAGGACATATTGGGTGCATTCACGTACGGCAAAACACCTGGAGAGGCTGAGATTGCAGGCTCATTGGCGACAGTTTGAAAATTAGACAAGAAAATGACCAATGGCATAAGAGCAACAAACAATTTAGAGCTGGAAGTAGCCATTGATGTTGTCTGAGAATTTCAGCTGAAAACTAAAGGGTATTTGAATCTTGTGAAGGGTGGTGGCTTGGCTGGTGCATCTCACGAGATACACTGTGGGAGTGTTAAATTTTTCTACCTATAATTTAAGGCATAATTATTAAAGCCTCTTCGGGTTTGGTTTCACTTGATTTGTTTGGTGTTGGGGTTTAAGATTCCCTTCTCTTGTATTATACATATGATCTTGTCGGCGAATGCTTGCTTGTCTGCCACATGATTTTACGGGCCTTGGATTTTTCCACAAACAGGTCTTCAACCTGTTATCGTTTTGGTTTTGCTGTATCCATGTGAGTTAGTTAAACGATTTGCATTTTCATTTACGATAGATAAGATGAATCACATGTCCATTTACAATAGTCTCTTGGCCTTCATTTATTAAGGTATGTCCCTTTGCTTCTTACAATGATTCTACGTTTCTAGATTTGTGAAGGGCGATGATGAATAGGATACAAGGCTTTCCAAGTCAAATTCAAGAATTAGGCAGCCTAATTGCACCCCAAAATAATACAACTTAATGTTAAGATTCATTAAATTTGTCAACTTTGGTTTGTGCTAGATTCATTATTATTTTCGAGGGTGTAAAATATTTTATGTTGCATATATATATATAGGCGTTAAAACAAAATTCGCTTAGATTGTTTTAGTAACAAGTGCCTTCTTCCACAAAATTTTGATTCAAGTCATTTAGGACATTCCTTCGATCACGAGGATACATGTTACTACTCTAAATTTCCTGAGCAAAGGACCTCTTTTAGTAGTTGTACACTTATACAAGGCCACTCCCTCACTGTTATTCTTTTCTAATTTGATAACTTTTACAGTTTCATATCTTTCGGCCAATTATAATTTTTAGCATGATTATTGACATGCTCATGTCGTCTTACCAACAGTCATGTCCATAGATGGACCGAGGGGTGTGACCGTACCCTAGAAATTTTAAATTCTTTTATATTTTAAGTTTTTTCTCTGTATTTTCTATTGGAAGCAGATGATTTTTTCAAAGGACATGGACCGGTTTGATAGTTTGAGGTGTTGGATGTTGATTTGATTAGGGTCTCGGTTTTGTCATCACTTTAAAGTTGTTCTTTTATGCTGATCTTACTCTCTTTTTTCACTGTTTCGGCTTATTTCCTTCTTTGTTTAACCCTAAATTTTCATCCCTTGATCATTTCTTATGTATGGGATTTGTATCCCCTCACTGCTTGAACAAATAAGGGACTTTCACTTGGTATGCATATAACTTTGGATGTGTTATTTGATTGTTTAAAAATTCTCTACTTCTGCCAAGCCACCACCCTTCACAAGATTCAAATACCCCTCAGTTTTCAGCTGAAATTCTCAGACTACATCCATGGCTACTACTAGCTCTAAATTGTTTGTTGCTGTTATACCGTTGGCCATTTTCTTGTCTAATTTTCAAGCTGTCATCAATGAGCCTTCATTTTCAGCCTCTCCAGCCATTTTGCCTAGCGTGAATGCACTCGATATGTCCTCATTTTTCCCTACCGAAGCTCCACCACAATGGCCAGATTAAGAAGCCTTTACACCCGCGCCGAGCTTGGGTGAGGTTGCGGGGAAGAGTTTCGGCTGTTCATCTAAGTCTGATGGTGCCATTGTTATGCTTGTGCTGCAACTCTTTTTTCTTGTCTATGATGAGATTAATCTCTACTGTTTAACCACATATACATTACACGTAGTTTACAATAAGTAATGATCTCATCTGAGGTGCTTGTAATAATAAACTAGAATGTTTGCTTGGCTTTGATTTTGTTTATATGTTTATTATGCGAGTTATACATTATATCGAGTGATCACTTACGCTTTCATCACTCAAGAAGACTCACTAACAAGACTTGATATCAAATACATACTGGTTATTGAATGGACAGATGAGTAGTTTGGAAATCATATATAACAAGTTGTGCTACTCTGATTTGAATACGAATGGAAGGGTGTATCCACTATAGATATTGGACACAGATACTTCAAAGCAAAATGAAGGGTAGGAGAGATGAGATCATGAGAACAAGGAACCAAGAATATGCTGTCAGCTTATAGATCACTCTTTGGAGTTGCCAATGTTATAATGCTATCGACAAAGTAATAGTCACCTCAGTCATAAGTTCATAACGTCCTTAAAAGGTGTAAAATTAAAAGCTTACCAAAAGGTCGATTGTGAGAATTTATCTTCTTCAAGGAAGACCATGGTCAGCACTGGCATTGCCTTCATTTTCTCCTCCAAAAATTTGCACTTGCTTCATTTTTTCCGGGACACAAGAAACCGGTCGAAGTACAAAAATACAGTAACAGTTAACATCAAGACTGGAGAGGTACAATTTGGGTGCTAAAGGCAGCAGAGAGAGGGTGCTTGTCGAATCCTATCGAAAATATTTAGAAATCCCACACCGCTCGGGTGTTATTGAAGTTGTTTGGTTAAATACAGTGTAGGCAGCATAAATGTTCGCCGAGCTTGGTAACTTGAGCTTGTAACCCAAGTGGGGGCGTTAAGGTTATGGAAGTCAGCGCGTGAGGCTGGATTCACAGAGCAGCGAAAACTTCCCGCTCTCGGCAGTGGAAGGATTACAGGCCGGTGCCTGCTTGGATTCCGTTGGTTGACCAACTGGACCTTAATCTTTTTTCATTTGCAAAAGAGTGTCAATCTGCAACAAATATGGGGGGGGGGGCATTCATTTCATTTGTTTGGAATGATTCAATAGTAAAATCTCAAAGTCACTCTATGATATTTCTTCGACAATTAGGAGATAAATATTGTATCTCTGCCAAAAGACCTTCGCATATATACTTCGTACCTAAGGACCTCTACATAATCTAGAAGCATTTTTGAATCTCTCGTGCCTTGAGAATTTCAGAAAACATAAAGGGAACATCTCTGAAGGAAAATTCTCGAATGCTTAACATCTCTTGAGAAATCACGACTCCTTGACATACCTCTGACGTGTATATGTAATTAACTCATAACTTAATCTACCGCCAATTGATTATATTCGTCTAGCTTGCCACCCTATAGGTAGCAATCGTGACCCTATTGGTACAAATTTCAAGAGGCACTATGAAACATATCGGTCATGATGGAGAGACGAAATAAAACCACCTCACCCTTAATTCTCTGTTGTATCACCATGGAGATAGAGAACATTAACATTGGCCAACAATCATTCTCTCACAATGACTCTCAACTCAAGCCACTAAGGATGAACCGCATTTGCTCCCTCAACAAATCTTTGTTCTATTTCCGCTTGCAGTGACGAAACAAAACGAGCATATGTGTTTTAGTTGCTGAAATTTCTGCAGATATGTTAATTGCAGTCTGCTAACAAATAAAATGATCGTGCATGAACTGTTTGAGGTGAACCTTGATCAAACTTCGAAATACCATTCTTCCCAAAATGCAAATATACAAGTTCCTCAAATGAAAATACCATTTTTAAAAGGACTACAAAAACTATCCTTCATGGAAAGTCGTAAGAGAAAGGAATTTATAAAGAATGTGAAACATCATCATGATGAATGTCCAAGCAAAAAGACACAAATAATCGATCGACCAAGATAACTTAGATATGTATTTATAATGAAAACTTCTGTTTACAAAGTTCGAGTGGATAAAAACTATTACAAGTAGGATTTGGATGGAACCCCTACACGTATACGACTCTTTATAGAACAGTAACAACTACCATTAACGAAGGGTAAAACTCATTATTAGCTGCATTTCTCCCTCCATACAGTAGAAACGAAGCATAGAAAAACCAGAAATGTAAATGACATAATTCGATCATTCACGAATTATCATGTGCAGCACTCCTCCAACACACAGCAGCAACAGAGAGCCGCCAAACTGCATTACACCATCAGTAAATAATCACATATGATAGCAAGGAAAGCTTCAAGAACATATATATTATCCAATTTATGGTCTATCAATGATAAATGCCAAAAAGTGGCCAACAGAAGCCTAACACCACTTTATAGCATAGCTTAAAGGATTAAACGAACACCAAGTAGCTAATGAGCAAATGGCCTAAGGTTGTCAAAAGGAAACTATAGTGTGCAATCCACCAGTATAAATGAAATTCCACATGCTGAATGTTCTGATTCCGTGCTACACTCTAGAAACTCACGTGCATGATCATCTTTTTCCTTCTAAAAGATACATAACCAATTCAACAATCGATTATTGGGAAATGCCACATTAGCTTGTGGTACGTAAAGTTTCAGAAGCATGAAACGAGAAATGCCCTTGAACTCCGAAATACACGACTTGACAGCTAAGAATGTGTTGTAGCAGGAATTATCAATTAAATGTCCGTAACAGTCTTCAAGCATAGGCTCCAACGACATTCAAGAATTTGACATGAAAAGCCAATAGCGGTATTAGATTAATAGAAAACTTGTATGCAACAGTTGTAACACCCCCAACCCGTACCCGACCCGGATATGAGTCAGAGATACTACATTGACTTTAAAACACAACTCTTAACAAATAATAGTAAAATATTTGAACATATATTAAGAAAATACGATAATATACATGTTGTAATATAAGTTTACTAAAATATTCAGAGCATACACAACTTAACCCTTTAATTACATGCCAACTGCCATTTACATAACAAAATGACCTACTGATTAAGTTGTTTCTGATCTGGTGGTTGCAGGAGTAATGTTGTCAAGCTGCTTCACCTGTCTCGTCTACTTTCTCGGATCCTACGTGTGAAACACTCACACGCTAAGTCATCGACTTAGTGAGGTAATAATAATAACAAGGCAATGTAATGAAAATGTCATGATCATATGAAATGAGATGCAAACATGTACTTAATCAATGTAGTCTACATCATCAATATCCATACCTGTAAGCGTATGACTTTAACATTCATGAATCTGTATTAATAAGTTTATTGGCCCATGATAGTAGATTGAGAACCTAAGGTATCTGAGTAATGTGAGGTTGTGCACTATGCTGTCACCACAGCTCGTATAAATGCACCGAAGTGCCGCGTAGAATTGCACCGTAGTGCCATATAATGATGTCCATAAGGACCACATAGAATTCCTTAAGAATCATATACATATACTAGGGATCAAGTATGTGTCTTTCCAAGACTTCACACATGTTCCAAAGAATATACATATATCCCGAAGGACCGCGTAGAATTGCACCGTAGTGCCATATAATGATGTCCATAAGGACCACATAGAATTCCTTAAGAATCATATACATATACTAGGGATCAAGTATGTGTCTTTCCAAGACTTCACACATGTTCCAAAGAATATACATATATCCCGAAGGACCGCGTAGACCCTCTACCCTTGGCATGCCAACTATACCTATAGTTCTCATCTACATAACATGGGCTTTTACATTTCACGTAGTCTATATCGCGTAGACATGTAAATTCTTACCTTTTCACATAGCTCATAACTTTTCCCACATATTCATGTCATATAATGCATTTTATATGAACTCATGTCATGTCTCATAATACAGAATATGCTCATGTACCAAGATATAAAATCTAGACTTATCACAAGTCTAAAATGGAGTATATTTCTATAATTATGCTATGCATATGCACTCACCTATATTTCTTTGCCTTTTCCTCGATCGATCCTACTTGTAGATTGTTCCCGAACTCGTGTAGGCTCGGTATCTACATAAACATAATTTCCAAGATGATTATCATATGTCTATGTCTTGAAATTAATCTTTAATAGCTTACCAATTTAAGGACTTAATAGTTTAGTCTTTCTTTCTTTTCTCTTTTCTTTCTTTTTTTTTATACATGGGGGAATCGGTTCCCCCCCTGGGGGTATCGATTCCCCTCTAGCATTCTGGAAATTCATATTCGTTGAGGGGGTATCGGTTCCCCTTGAATGGGTACCGATTCCCCTAGCCCAGAAATCCTATTTTGAGTTCGGAAATCATCTCATTTCAGCTCAAACATACATATTTCACTCTCTTTAATACTCTTAGCTTTCATACACTTACTTAAACTAATTATTATCCATTCAATACCTCTAAACTAAAAAAACTAATCATCCATATAGAATTGAAGAATCTTACTCAAATTTCAACTTGTTCTAATTTCAATTCTATTACCTCATACTTCTTAATTAACTTATTGACAAGTCAAAAATCTTATTCAAACTTCAAAAACTCATCCATATCAAAATTTCATCTAAAAACTCATTTTCCAAATCTATCTCTAAAACACTTATCTTGTTGTCTTAATGTCATATAAGCTTTCCTTTAGCTTATATAACATCCAAACTTCCATTTCCAATCTAAAAATCAAAGAAACTACCAAGGTTCAGATTCTTACCTTTACTTGCAAGCTTCACGGTTGGAGAAGGAAGAGAAGAAGAGAAAAGTCTGGAATGCTTATCTCAAATGCCCACGTGATTTATAATATCATCCTAAGGAATATTTAATTATTTCATTTACTCAATTACTCTTTTGCCCTCTTAATTCTCCTTTATAATTCAATCCTACACCAAATAACTCAAATAGATCATTAAACTCTTCCATCATTTTACTTAAATCACCAAATGTTGAAACTTTGCAAATTAATCACTAACCCGGCATGGAGGATGTTACAAATCTCTCCCCCTTAAGAAAATTCGTCCTCGAATTTTCATTGCACGAACAAATGAGGGTATTGATGTCGCATATCTTCTTCACGCTCCCACGTTGCTTCTTCTACTTTGTGATTTCTCCACAACACTTTGACCAAAGGAATAGTCTTGTTCCTCAATTGCTTAACTTCATGTGCTAAAATTTGAATCGGTTCTTCCTCATAAGTCATATCCGGTTGTACCTCGATCTCTTCTGGATTTACGATATGGGAATGATCAGATCTATATCTTCGAAGCATTGAAACGTGAAAGACATCATGTATCTTTTCCATCTCAGGTGGTAAAGTTAGCTGATATGCTACAGGTCCTACTCTCTTTACAATCTCATATGGTCCAATAAACCGAGGACTCAATTTTCCTTTTCGACCAAATCTCAACACCTTCTTCCATGGAGACACTTTTAAAAACACTTTATCTCCAACTTGAAATTCAATTTCTTTCCTTTTTAGATCTGCATATGATTTCTGTCTGTCTGCTGCAGCTTTGAGATTACTCTGAATTATCTGGACCTTTTCTTCTACTTCCTGAATCAACTCAGGACCAAGCACTTCTTTATCTTTGAGCTCATACCAGTTCAAAGGCGTACGACATTTCCTTCCATAAAGAGCTTCATAGGGAGCCATTTTAATACTCGACTGATAACTATTGTTGTAAGCGAACTCTGCCAGCGGTAAATACTTTTCCCATGATCCTTTAAATTCCATTACGCATGCTCTCAACATATCTTCCAATATCTGAATAGTTCTCTCTGATTGCCCATCAGTCTGAGGATGAAAAGCCGTACTAAAGTTTAAACGAGTTCCCAACGCTTCATGCAAAGATTTCCAGAATCTAGAAGTGAATCGAGGGTCTCGATCAGAGACTATGGAAACAGGTACTCCATGCAATCTAATAACTTCTCTAATATACAGCTCTGCATACTTTTCCATAGAGAAATCCGTTCTAACCGGAAGGAAATGCACTGACTTAGTTAATCGATCAACAATTACCCAGATTGATTCTCTTTTGTTCGGAGTCAAGGGTAACCCCGAAACAAAATCCATCATAACATTTTCCCATTTCCATTGAGGAATGAAAAGCGGTTGCAATAATCCTGATGGAACTTGATGCTCGGCTTTGACTTGTTGACATATCAAACACTTAGACACAAATTCGGTGATGCTTCGCTTCATCCCTGACCACCAAAATCGATCCTTCAAATCCATATACATCTTGGTTCCACCCGGGTGCATCGTTAACGGACTGCAATGAGCCTCTGATAAAATTTCTTTCTTCAAGTCGTCATTGTCGGGTATTATAATTCTTCCTTTACAATATAGATTTCCATCTGACTTAATCTCAAAATCTTTAATCTCTTTGTTCTTTACTTGTTCAATTCTTTTCAAACACATTTCATCTTTACTTTGCAATTCTCCTATTCGTTCTAACCATGCTGGTTTAAGGGTTAATTCTGCACAAAGACCACCGTCTCCCGTTAAAGATAATCTTGCATCCATAGCTCGTAAAGCTGCAAACGTTTTTCTACTCAGAGCATCTGCTACCACATTAGCCTTTCCGGGATGATAGTCAATTATCACATCATAATCCTTTAAGAACTCTACCCATCTACGTTGTCTCAAATTCAATTCTTTTTGAGTCATCAGGTACTTCAGGCTCTTATGATCCGTATATAATTAACAACGCTCCCCATAAAGATAATGACGCCAAATCCTGAGAGCGAATACTACAGCAGCCATTTCTAAATCATGAGTGGGGTAATTCCTTTCATGTGGTTTCAACTGTCTCGATGCGTACGCTACCACTTTTCCTTCTTGCATTAATACACACCCCAACCCGTTATGGGATGCGTCACTGTATACTACAAAATTCTTGCCAGATTCCGGTTGAACCAATATCGGAGTTTCCGTCAGAATTCTCTTTAAAGCTTCGAAACTTTCTTGACATTCAGAAGTCCAAACAAATGGTATGTTCTTTCTCATTAGCTTTGTTAGAGGCAGCACAATCATCGAAAAATTCTTAACGAATCTTCGATAGTAACCGGCAAGTCCAAGAAAACTCCGAACTTCAGACACATTCTTAGGAACTTCCCAATCCATTATAGCTTTAACCTTCTGAGGGTCTACTCTAATCCCAACTGCCGAGATCACATGCCCTAAGAAAATTACTTCGTCTAGCCAAAATTCACATTTAGACAATTTCGCATAGAGATTTTTATCCCTGAGAATTTGCAAAACTAGCCTCAAATGTGTGCTGTGCTCTTTTATGGACTTCGAGTAAACCAGTATGTCATCAATAAAGACAACAACAAACTGGTCCAGATAGGGCTGAAAAATCCTGTTCATGAGATCAATGAAAGCAGCAGGTGCATTCGTTACTCCGAATGGCATTACGATGAATTCATAATGACCATATCTCGTTCTGAAAGCTGTCTTCGGAATATCTTTCTCCTGGATCTTCAATTGATGATAACCCGAACGTAGATCGATCTTCGAAAATACCGAAGCTCCTTTTAGTTGATCAAACAAGTCATCAATGCGCGGAAGGGGATACTTGTTCTTAATGGTCACCTTATTAAGCTGTCGATAATCAATACAAAGACGCATTGATCCATCCATCTTCTTAACAAATAACACCGGAGCTCCCCAAGGTGACACACTTGGTCGAATAAATCTTTTTTCTAACAAATCTTGCAATTGATTCTTTAACTCTTGCAATTCTTTCGGAGCCATCCGATAAGGTGCCATTGCAATTGGAGCGATTCCTGGCATTACTTCAATTTGAAATTCTACCTCTCTATCCGGAGGTAATCCTGGCAATTCAGCAGGAAAAACATCAGGGAACTCTCGAACTATTGGAATTTCCTCTAACCTTTTCTCTTGAGCTCTTGAATCAATCACATTTGCAAGAAAACCCTGACATCCTTGTAGCAATAATTTCTTGGCAGACATCACTGATATTACATTTGCTAAAGGATTACACATTTCACTGATCACATTAACTTCTATTCCTTCTGGACTCTTCAGGGTTACCTTTTTCAATCTACAGTCGACATTCCCATAATAATGAAACAACCAATCCATTCCCAGAATCACTTCAAACTCGTCAAAGGGTAATTCCATCAGATTAGCAGGGAATTCAATTCCCTGAATCTTTATGGGACACCCCTTACAGATTTTGTCCACCTGAGTACTATGCCCTAACGGATTAGTTACTATCATCACATTACTCGTAGCTTCTATAGGAATCCTCAACTCCTTTACTAACTTACTTGTAATATAAGAATAATTAGAACCCGGATCAATCAGCACCAATACTAATTTATCATACAACTGAAAAGTACCTGCTATAATATCAGGGTCATCACGGTCTTCACTTGTCTTTAGATTGTATACCCGAGCAGTGGATCGAACTTCAGGTTGAGCAGAGAATTCAGACGGGTTCCTTCCTCTGCCTCTTCCTCGTCCTCTTTGTGAGGAAGAACCAACTCTTCCAGATGGTGCAGGCTCACCAACAATCAATGGACAATCCCGGATAAAATGTCCGGCATCTCCGCATCGAAAACAAGTCCCAGCAGCCATCCGACAAGCCCCATAATGGTTTTTCCCACAGTGCTGACACTGTCTCCCTTGACTCGGAGTAGATCTCCCAGCACCAGATTCCACTGATTGCGTCTGTCTAGGTCTTGCCTGACTTGCTCCCCTAGCAGACAATGCAACTGATTCTGATCTAGTTTGTGATCGAAATCCCGAGTCTCTTCCCCTTTTTGTTGGTACTGAGCTAGAAGAAGTAGTCGTCCTCTTTGATGTCTGAACTCTTGAGTCCCCAAATCTTTCATTCTGAGCCCTTTCAAGAGCTTTTGCACGATTGATCACCTCCTGGAACGAGGACAAGTTTAATACTATCAACATTTCTTTAAGTCTAGGGCGCAAGCCCTCCACGAACCATTCGCAAGCATCTTTTCCAGTAGGCACAAGCTCAGCTGCAAACCTGCTCAGCTTATTAAACTCACATTCGTACTCATATACAGAGCGGCTCATCTGCTTCAAATTCATAAACTCCTGCTTCATTTGTCGGATAAACTGATCTCCAATATACTTGTTTTTAAATTCTTCTAAAAACAAAGACCAAGTCAACTGGTCGGTTGACATCCTCATGGTGACGTTCGTCCACCATATCCTCGCCTGACCCCTCAATAAAGACACAGCTCCATCTAATTTCTCTACTTTAGAACAGTGGAGACCATCTAACATGATTTTCAAATCATTCAACCAAAGATCCACTGACACTGGACCTTCCTCAGCTTCTCCCTTAAATTCGGGAGCTCCTAAACCTCTCAACTCTTTTGCTACATTAATTCTTTGGTGAATTACTGCTTTCAGCATGCCTATCTTCTCCCGCTTCACTTCGGGAGCTATTATGTCCGGACATCTAATAAGAATAAACACATTGTTCTATTAGCAAAACAGCATACTCATACTATACCAGATCAGAAGTTCTCACTATTTGTTGGCATGTATTCCATTTAAAGACTCTATAGACTCTGGTTTATGCCTAGAATCGGCTAAACCATAGCTCTGATACCATTAAATGTAACACCCTCAACCCATACCCGACCCGGATATGAGTCAGAGATACTACATTGACTTTAAAACACAACTCTTAACAAATAATAGTAAAATATTTGAACTTATATTAAGAAAATACGATAATATACATATTGTAATATAAGTTTACTAAAATATTCAGAGCATACACAACTTAACCCTTTAATTACATGCCAACTGCCATTTACATAACAAAATGACCTACTGATTAAGTTGCTTCTGATCTGGTGGTTGCAGGAGTAATGTTGTCAAGCTGCTTCACATGTCTCGTCTACTTTCTCGGATCCTACGTGTGAAACACTCACACGCTAAGTCATCGACTTAGTGAGGCAATAATAATAACAAGGCAATGTAATGAAAATGTCATGATCATATGAAATGAGATGCAAACATGTACTTAATCAATGTAGTCTACATCATCAATATCCATACCTGTAAGCGTATGACTTTAACATTCATGAATCTGTATTAATAAGTTTATTGGCCCATGATAGCATATTGAGAACCTAAGGTATCTGAGTAATGTGAGGTTGTGCACTATGCTGTCACCACAGCTCGTATAAATGCACTGAAGTGCCGCGTAGAATTGCACCGTAGTGCCATATAATGATGTCCATAAGGACCACATAGAATTCCTTAAGAATCATATACATATACTAGGGATCAAGTATGTGTCTTTCCAAGACTTCACACATGTTCCAAAGAATATACATATATCCCAAAGGACCACGTAGAATTGCACCGTAGTGCCATATAATGATGTCCATAAGGACCACATAAAATTCCTTAAGAATCATATACATATACTAGGGATCAAGTATGTGTCTTTCCAAGACTTCACACATGTTCCAAAGAATATACATATATCCCGAAGGACCGCGTAGACCCTCTACCCTTGGCATGCCAACTATACCTATAGTTCTCATCTACATAACATGGGCTTTTACATTTCACGTAGTCTATATCACGTAGACATGTAAATTCTTACCTTTTCACATAGCTCATAACTTTTCTCACATATTCATGTCATATAATGCATTTTATATGAACTCATGTCATGTCTCATAATACAGAATATGCTCATATACCAAGATATAAAATCTAGACTTATCACAAGTCTAAAATGGAGTATATTTCTATAATTATGCTATGCATATGCACTCACCTATATTTCTTTGCATTTTCCTCGATCGATCCTACTTGTAGATTGTTCCCGAACTCGTGTAGGCTCGGTATCTACATAAACATAATTTCCAAGATGATTATCATATGTCTATGTCTTGAAATTAATCTTTAATAGCTTACCAATTTAAGGACTTAATAGTTTAGTCTTTCTTTCTTTTCTCTTTTCTTTCTTTTTTTTTATACATGGGGGAATCGGTTCCCCCCCTGGGGGTATCGATTCCCCTCTAGCATTCTGGAAATTCATATTCGTTGAGGGGGTATCGGTTCCCCTTGAATGGGTACCGATTCCCCTAGCCCAGAAATCCTATTTTGAGCTCGGAAATCATCTCATTTCAACTCAAACATATATATTTCACTCTCTTTAATACTCTTAGCTTTCATACACTTACTTAAACTAATTATTATCCATTCAATACCTCTAAACTAAAAAAACTAATCATCCATATAGAATTGAAGAATCTTACTTAAATTTGAACTTGTTCTAATTTCAATTCTATTACCTCATACTTCTTAATTAACTTATTGACAAGTCAAAAATCTTATTCAAACTTCAAAAACTCATCCATATCAAAATTTCATCTAAAAACTCATTTTCCAAATCTATCTCTAAAACACTTATCTTGTTGTCTTAATGTCATATAAGCTTTCCTTTAGCTTATATAACATCCAAACTTCCATTTCCAATCTAAAAATCAAATAAACTACCAAGGTTCAGATTCTTACCTTTACTTGCAAGCTTCACGGTTGGAGAAGGAAGAGAAGAAGAGAAAACTCTGGAATGCTTATCTCAAATGCCCACGTGATTTATAATATCACCCTAAGGAATATTTAATTATTTCATTTACTCAATTACTCTTTTGCCCTCTTAATTCTCCTTCTTTATAATTCAATCCTACACCAAATAACTCAAATAGATCATTAAACTCTTCCATCATTTTACTTAAATCACCAAATGTTGAAACTTTGCAAATTAATCACTAACCCGGCATGGAAGATGTTACAACAGTGATATCAAACAGGGTGGTATTCTCCATAACAATAATATCAAGCTTATATTCCATGATTGTCATTTTGAACTTTCATCAATGCAAGGATTTTTATCTACATTTCTATAAAGAAAACCTAGTCTCTACAATATAAAACTGATCCATATTGAACAGGTAATCACATATGGGAAAACAGAACCCTTTCTCAGTAATCCAATAATAAAACTAAAAGCTTAAAATTTCCAATTTAAAATCAACGAATTAAGAATCAAGCCAATGGAACAATTTTAGAAGAAGAAAAAAAGACATACCAGCCTTGTAAGAAAGCGTAACATCCAGCATCAGATTAGTCCTCCTGGTTATTGTACCGCTCATACTGGGGTTGACATTGTTGATATTGAGGATGACCACCTGGAGGTTGCGGATACCCTTCAGCAAGATACCCTTGGTAACCCTCGTAAGCCGGTTGTTGTGGCGGTTGTGGAGGAGGATAAGAGGGAAACCCAGGCGGTGGGGGAGGCGGATAGCCTTCGAAAGATGGCGGAGGTGGGGCTGACGGGTGGCCCTCTGGTGGGGGTGGTGGGAAATAAGGATTATAACCTGTTGTAGAAAACAAACAAGAGAATCAAATGATGAAAACAGGGAATGAAGAAAAGGAAGATTCATTAAAGAGAATTCATACCGGGAGGAGGATAAGGATCTTGAGGAACTCTCTGGTAACTCATTTTGATTATGTTTTTTTATCGTTTTCTTCCTACCTTTCCCTTTCTCTGTCTTTTACTAGTTTCTCGAAATCCAATACACAATGGAATGAAACAAATTCTCTTGCATTTTCCGTATTTATATTTATGTAACTAAACTTTAAAAAAAATTACGTTCGTTACAAAAAAAAATTAATTCGTTGATACTTTTTTTTACCTCCAATTTTAAAGTTTAGCCTGATTAATCTGGATCGATTCGAATCGTACACCTATTTTTGGTGTGTGAGTCTCGAACATGAGTAATTACTTAAGTGATATCAAATTATTTATCACTTGAACCAACTAGATTGATTCAAAATGATCATGGGATAAGTTTTAATTTTAATTTTTTTCATAGTTGAAATTCTTTTTATGGACATCAACCATCATTTATTACATAACTATTATTAATATGTTTTTTTTCTTCTCATCATTTTAACTTTTTCAAATTTCATTTAAAATTGATAAAATTCGGATCAAAATTTTGGTTTATCTTAGTCGAATCTATAATCTATATCATTTGATCAGAGCATAGAATTAATGTATATCTCATTTTTCTTTTTATGAACCTCTTCACTTTCTGGATTTAGAAGAAAAAAATGATTATATCGGTGAATCAAAGACACTGGAAATTTGGTTTGAAAATAAAGTTTCAATGTAATTTTTACATAAATTTATCGAGAGAAATTTAATGGCATTGGACATTTAATAGACAAGTGATCGACATGAAGGAAATTAAATTAAGGATGAAAATTGGAATGCAAGTGCTGAAAGTAAGCCAACATCTCTGTTAAACACACTGAAAAGGCTGAACGTAAAATGTTGTAAATTTTAAAACTCAAACCCAATATATCAATTGAAGTCTAGGCCTAAGAAGTGTGAATTAGTTGATTCATCTTACGCTAAACTCATTTAGCATCCATCTAACTATAAAATTCCGCCAACAAATATGTTCTAAAACAAGTGAAAAACACCTTTTGAACTGCAAACAGAAAGAAAAGTTGGCGTAGTCAGCTCAGCTACAAATACTTTGCGCTTCTTCTTGCTTGCTGTTACACCAATGGAGTTCGACGGGGTAACCATCAGGTAGACGAATAGAGCCACGATTGATATCACAGAGATTTGAGATCCATACTTAGCCAGCAACCTCTGCACAAGATAACACTCACATTAGTCGCTTTTTATGGACAACGTAAATAAGACCAAAAAGGTTAAGAACTAGGAATGTGGCTCACCAAGGATCCATCTTTGTTTATTCGTTATCTAAGAAGCAACACTCAACCACTACATATTAACCCCGACAACAAAGATGTTCAATAAAAGGTAGCGGGGTTGTATGCATTATTTTGATACAGATTCAGAAGCATGATTATTTTAACAGATGTACCAATAATCATTCATACCTTAGCCTTCAATATTTAGTCCCGACCATCACAACTTGCACAAAAGACAAACAAACAGGCTTTAGTAACATGGAAACAAGGATAAAGAAATTCAATAACCTTGAATTATTTGCTTATTGTTATTCCAAAAAGAACTCACCCAGTCAAACTTCTTCTCAGGAGGTATTTCGGCAAGGACATCTAACGGTAAGATTGAAGTTGAATACGCCTCCTAAAACACCGAGCAAATTAGAGCATCAAAGCTTGTTCACAACTTCTTTTCTCTTTCCTTTTCCTTAAATTTTAAGAATGGAAAATGGATTTCAAACCTGTGAGGCGGCCTTTGTGGGAATGCGGAAAGTGATAACCGCTGGTGCACCATAGAACATCCCTCGTCTTTTGGCCTCTAATTCAAATGAATGTGGCAGAACACCGCCACTGCAGATTTTAGAGTTTTGGAATTTAATTAAGATGCAATCAAGAACAACCAAATTAAATGGAATAACATAAAGGAAATACTCACGCAACAAGTTTCTCCCATGACTGAAATATTGCCACTGATGACATCAAATTCATCCTGGGGCCAGCTATGATCCACGAGACTCACTCACGTCATATGCCGTGCTGAAATTTTTTTCAGAAAGTTTTCCTCAAGTAAGATTATATATACTCTCAAAATAAAATGAATGAGAAACTTAAAAAAAAAATTCTTCACACGGGAGCACAGGGGGAAATAGGCAATGAATGCCCTATAAAATATAGTTCGAGTATTATATTAGATCGTGTAGTAACATCAACCTCCAATTATAGATTGATGGTCAACGGACTTATACATGAATTAACAGAAAGAAAATTGAAATATATGAAACAGGCAAGATTTTACAGCAGAAAAACATATAAGAAAATAAGATAAAAATGCCAAAGTAACATTTCCAAATCGATCAAATTTCAGTCATCTCAGATCCGAGTGTTAAAATGGAAAGAAAGTAGATTTAAACTGATTTTTTCTCTTTATGTTCTCTAAACTGAATCATCAGCAAAAAGAAAGTAAAATTTGATCTTTTCTCGGACATGCAAAGCCTAAAACGAAATCGTAAGCTACATGAGATAATAAGGATAGGTCAAATTCATACTTGAATTATCGATTCAGAGTTCCAACTTTTCCATCTCGATGGAGTGGTTAGAGCCAGATCTGAACTAAAAGGATCAAAAAGAAGAAAAATAAAAAGGGAAATAGAAACGCACGAGAAGCCTTGGTTGTAGATGTCGATGGAGACGGAGACGCATTCGGAGCCGGATTTGAGTCTGGTGAGCGATGCCTTCTTGTGAGCGATGATAAAGGAGTCGCTGACGGCGGTGGCTTCCGAAATCAAGAAAAAAAAACAAAGAATGCCTTGACCAGTAGATTTTCCATAAGCGTCGCCATGAATCTGCAAGAGCTGATTTTTTTTTTCACCTTGCTAACTTCAATAAGAAATGGAATTATGGAAGTCTAGAAATAGAGTTGAAATAAACAGACAAGAGCAGCCATTGGTTTTTCCCCCTATTTTTGTTCGAAACGATGTCGTTTCCCACTAAAAGAAAATTAGAAATCCAAATTTGCATAGGATAATACGCCCTATGAAGAAAATAAAGGGTAAACTACTTATTCGGTAACTCATTTATTCTCATATTTCTTTTATGGTCATTCAATTATTTTTTTTAAAATTATACATAACGTTATGTTTTATTTTTATTTTGACACTCACAGTTAAAAAAATTAATAGTGATGCTGACTTGATTTTTTTATGTTATTTTATTTCTCCTAATCAACAATACATGTATTATTTTTTAAAATAATTTTCAAAAATGACGTGAGTTATTGATTAAAAGAGAGAGAACAATGTTAAAAACAAAATATCACTTTTGCATCATGTTAATTTTTTAATGCTAGATATCAAAATAAAAACAAAACATAATACTAGAATGCTTTTGAATACAAAAAATAATTGGATGACCAAAATAGAAACACAAGAATAGATGAGATACCAAATAAGTAATTTACCCTATCTTTTAAAATTTCACATGAATATTTTAATTGAAAATGTTAAGATAGATAACATATAATTTATCGTTGGTGTATAAGTTTATACGCCAATGATATATAAAGCCTTATTTCAAGGGAACCCCAAGAGACTAATCAATATCATTTTCCTTAACAATTCATTTCATGGGGCACATGCTGCTAATGACAGCACACATGCAATCTCGGATCAAGCAACAAAAGCAATTTCCTTATGTGAACAGTGGACAATATATGTGATACAATACAAAACAACGATCACTACAATCGTGGGAACTTCTTTATCATTAATCCTCAACAACCAATAAATACGCCAGCGCACCAGCCTAACCAAGATTTGGGATCACGAACTTAGCTAACGCATCACTAAACCTCGTATTTACGCACTGCTCCTCACCTAAAACTATCCGGATAAAGGTTCGATCAGCTGCAAACGAATCAGCTATCTCGGCTTCCGCCTGCATAAACTCGAACATTATTTCACATGCGTCTCAAACATGAAAAATGGTAATCAAATACCAACTCGTATGAAAAAAACAAATGTAATGGAATGATTATGAAGCTCTAATTACTTCTGATTTGGTCAGAATGAGACGCCACTTCGGGAACGCCAGGTATTGGTTTCATGGGCATCAACGAAGGCAATGCAGCTTCTCCATCCTTCTCTGGAACTTGCGGAGCCTCCAAAAGCCTGGAAAAATTATGCGCCATTGCTCTTTGATGGCGAGAAGGCATAGAGAAACTTCGAGGTACTATCAAAGGTGGAGTTGGAAGGCGAGATGCTCCGCTTGCTGCCGGTGGAGGAATATTACTAGCAGAAAGCTCTTGATTTCTTGAGATTAGTGCAGCTGAGTGACCAGCCAAGGCAGGAGGTTTTGCTGATTTGGCAGCTAAATTATCAGGAGGCCTCGGAAGCTCGTGAAGCTCATTTAATCTGGGTGAAGAAACAAAGGGAGGTGATGCACTTGGGGATACTTTGGGAGGTGACAACGATCGAGGAATTGTTAAATGAGAAAATACTGCAGAAGCTAAATTGGGAAGTTTGGCAGGTGGAATAGAACTGCTTGCCGGCAGAACAGGCTTTGTTAACGATTGTTGACTAGATAATGGACCAGAAACAGATTTTCTTTTCATAATTTTGCCTTCGGAGGAGATATCCAGCAGGGCAAATTCTTGTACTTCAGTCAAAGGAGGGGGTAGTTGCATAGCGATATTATTACGACTGCTGTTCTCCTTAAGAACTGACTCAGAATTCAAGATGGTAAACTCTAATGATGATTGACCATCACGGGAATCTTTCTCTCGATTCTTTTGCTCTAGTGGGGAGGAATGCCATAAATTGTGTGGATGTCCAGCTACATTTGTTGGTCTCGAGTGGGAAACAGAGCTACTTGTTCTTGAAGAAGCTGCAAACGTTGAATCATTTGGGGTTGGAAGCACATAAGCATTAGACCTCCTTGTAGATGACTGCAGCATCTGTTTTACTCTTTCAGCAGGATCAAGCTTCCTTTCTGGAAATATGGGGGCTGAATGGCTACCCACTTTGTGCTCCCTACTTGAGACCTGAACATCCCCATGGCTTTTCTCAGGGTTTACCTACAGGCAGACAGCAGAGGCTAATAAAATATATACTTTAAGAAACTCATATTACAAGCAAAACCAACAAGTTGAAAATTCATGATTCTAAAAGCCTATGGGTTGATTTTTTCCAATAGGGACAAATGACAATTGAATGAACGGAGATATACCTCTGCATTTTCCATCTTTGAAGTTTGGGGAAATGAAGAACTTACTTCATCTACCTGGAGAATAAACCACCATGTTTTAGGAATAAAAGGAAGTTATCAACACATAAATGGATTATGAGAAAAGATCAATGTACAATATCACACAAACAACAATGACATCATCCCCCTCCTCTAGAACTAGAATGAATTGAACCACTAAACAGGCCAAAATAAACTATGATTTGTATGGAATTCTGGATGAAGAAACCAATCCTACTAATGGTTCGAACTTCAATATGGGGGGAAAATACGGAATAAGGCGGCCAAAGTGAAATATGACAAGTTCTGGACCCCATTTTTCCAAACCTTTATGTTTAAGGGTGCAGCTCTTACTTAAAAGCATAACAGCGACGAAAATAATGTTACCCCCTCCTAAAATAGGAATAAGGAGGAAAAAGTGAAACATGACTAGCTTTGATCCTCATTTGTTCAAGCCTTTATGTTTAAGGGTGGAACTCTTGCTTACAACCATAAAAACTTCAAAAATGACTTAATAAATTTACAATAGCATAAGGATCAGACCTCCATTGAATTCCTTGATGTAGAGGTAACACCAACCCCCTTCTCATTTGCTCTATAGTCAAAACTTAATTCCCCATCTTTGTTCAGATCATAGGAAATCTCACCATCTTCCCCACCATCATCTTCAAGACTGCAGAACTGGTAATCAATGTGTTGGTGTTCCGTAACTTGCCTAACATGAGGTTCAATTGCCTCAAGTGATTTAAGCCCTTTCCTAAAGAAATTCAACTGCACTCACAAGACAAACAGAATTGAAAAGAGGGGAGGAGGTTATCAGCATTGAACTTATGATAAGGCAGAAACCATAGACATGTGAAACTTTTAGAAATAAATTCAGAAACCTGAGCTGCATGGTGACGAGCAGCTTGTGTTACAAGACTTCTGGATTGACCTTCCTTCAAAGATTTCAACCGGAAAACACAAAGAGTAGCCACTTCATCATATTCATCACGAGCTGTTTGCAACTGCTGCAAAGTGAAAGTTTCACCTTTTCCACCTTTAGACCTTCCTTTTTCCTTTTGTTGTGCCACCAAGTATTCATAGACATTTCTGAAGATCGTTAACAAGATTCAGAAAAAGACTTGCATATAACCCAATCAAAATAAGCATGCAGTGAAAAAGTGATGCACCTTTTTTCGTCACACTGCAGCTTCATATCCTGCACCAGCAAACAAGATAAAGGCTGCTAAGCATGATAGTTTTAACAGAATATTAACGATGGTAAAAGAGTGACATTGGCACGTGGGAAATGACGTTGAAAATTTCTTAAATAAACAATAGAGATTCAAGCAAACAAACCTCAACAGTCCTAAGCTCATTGAGAAGTGACTCGGATGGATTTGTAATTGTCAGCAATATATGTGAGCGCTGAGGCACAAAGAGCATCAAGAAGACTAAGCAAAAGGATTACTAGAATACGCAGCATACAACAAATTTCTAGGAAAAGTTTATTCTCTTCCATTTTTGAATAAGATTAATACTCACATAGTCATCCACGAGTTTTCGGAGTTCAAACTGCAAGTTCCCCAACATTAACAGAATCCTCCCTGCAAATAAGTGCAATGTAATTGTTTAAAACAGAACCATTATACCACAATAACATAGGTCGGCACCATCCTCTGAAGCTCCCTATTCCATCAAAAAGAACGTAACAATTGATACCGAAGTATGCAAATGCACAGTTACTTGATGACATTGTTTCCCTAATGAAGGACAAGTACTTTTTTTCAAGATAAATCAAACATTAAGGGAATATAGGATTGATGAATTTAATGGAAGGCATAACCTATGAAGCCTAAGACATCGAATAAGGCACATCATGCCATGTCCACAAGAAGTTGCTATGTTCAAGCAGAAATTCTGATCCATTTCATTCTTTTATATTTTGGAGGGGGATATCCAGGAATGCAGATGTGCACATGCAAATTGGGAGGGGATATTCATCAATACAAAGACATAATGGACGTGTTTAGGGTGAGACTCGAACAAATCAATGACATGACTCAAGTTGTTTAGATGTTGCTTGAATCAATTGGAATTTCTACTGCTACACGGGATCTGTAGCCTCATTCAGCGACATTACAACATTTCAAAAGAAATGTTCAATTGCATAATTTGGTTTAGCTTTTCAAGTCTTCAAAATTTCAGGCTAAATTGTACACAACATATGTTCCTATTGGTGATCTAAAAGTGCACGCAACTTAAGGAAGCAAAGGACTACTTACGGCTTTCTTCATCATCAGGTAGCAGTCTCTTTCCTTGCAGACAGGAGCCCATTTCTTGTAGTGACTCCGAGAATTCTGAATAAAAATCAAAGGTAGATTCATTCAACACTATGATTCATAAAGCTTAAGTTTCACTGATTTAGTGTAATCTAACAACTTAAATTCTTTTGTGTGCTGTTTATGCGCCTACTGCCTATAGATTAATATGGATTCCACATCTGCAAACATGCATGACTACACAACAGCTGATATTGAAGCCCTAATCATCTTATTTCTGAATCCAACTTTTTCTTCAAAACCTACCAGTTGCTTTTGGCTTGAAAAAGCGCCATATAACATGTAATTGGCATAGCCAACCATTTAGAAATGCAAAGGGTGACAACATAGAGATACCATGAATCAATATGACAATATAACAATATCATGTTTACCATATGCACTGTTAGCAGTTGCTGCAGCCGCCAAAAGTAAGCTATCATAGCAATTTCTCATATCTTGCGTATCCTGTAAATGCAGCCAAATGAAAAAAGCAAAATCTAATTTTAATCTTTCAAATTGAGATCAAAGATAATCTACAAGAAGCTTAGTCATTGAGAGGAGTAAGTTGGAAGTTGTCACATAGCAATACAAAAGCATAAAGCTATAACTAAATATTAAATCTAATTACTAATTTACTACCAATAACAAGGAATAATAATCAACTATTGAATTAACTGAATAAACTAAAAACACAGAATAATTACCACGGATATTCAGAGTGGCAGTGGTCACTGGTAAGTAAAATCTTCAATTAATGACAGTTAATAACCTATTTGAGCAGCAATCAATTTAGGGTTCCAAACAAGGATGGACTCGAGGCATAGTTATCTGAATTGGTGTATAGCATATTTCACAGCTAAAGCTTAAAAGTACTCCACTATTCTAATCCGGATTTAGATTCTCTCCAATCCTTAAGCATTTCACATTTTCTTAACGTTGAACTAAGCCTTTAGACTAATCTTGTTTCAAAATATCGACAAAGAAAAAAAGATTCATAATTTAGAGTCTTTAAAACCTAATGGATTAAAATTTCTACCATTCTCCCAGAGCAATAATTCTCCATACATATTTTCTAATTTCTATGAAATTACGCATTAGAAACTCGCTTCACCTAGCTGAACTCGATCCATTCAATCACAGTTGGAATAACCTAAAATCGTTTCTGCACTTTCAGAAATAGAAACAAGAGAAGCCGATTTATTTCCCAATCAACAAAGTAAACTTAATCAGAATTTAGATCAAACCAAAGTTCAAACATAATTTTAAAGAGAGATGAAAAACAAAATAAAAGTACCTTAGCTGCTTGAGCGAGTTCATCCAAATGAGCTGAATATAAAAAATCTAATTTATCCTTGCCATAGTTCTTGTGGAGCGCATATCTTCGAAGTTTACCCCACGAAGACTTCATTTCAGAGAGAGAGAAAGGCCCTACGCAATGAACGAAAAAAAGAAGAAGAGAGAGAGAGAGCGAAAATTTGTGAACTCCTTTTAATTCCTCGGAGAATCAAACTTTCATGAGAATAACAAATTGAAAATCCAAGCAAATTATGCAAATTTCAACTCAGGAAAATCCGGGCCATGGCAAAGCCTGATTCACGCTCCATTTTCACATCCATTCCCTTGGAAGCGAAGAGATTTTAAAAAGTATAAATTACAGAAATGGTCACTAATATTTTATTAATGTCTGTAACTTCATTGAAGTTTAAAAAATAATAAATTAGTCACTATTAGTATAACAAAATGATCACTCTCCTATCATCTCCGCTAAATTAATGATATGCTAACGTTAATAAAAAATTAATATCTAATTTGTATTAAAATAATATTAAGACATCATATAGATCTCTTTAAATAATGATTTTATATTTAATCTACCTCAAAAACTTTCTAATTTTTTAAAAAATTCTAAAAATTATAAATATACTTGAATAATAAAAAATAAAAAACTATAAAAATATTAAAAATGCAAAAATAATAATCCAATAATAGTGTGTATATATATATATTATCCCGTATAAAAATTTTATTAATTATGGTAGTCTTAAAATTCAAATTTTTCTTTATTAGTTATTTATTTTAGAGAAAATAACTTCAGTGAACGAAAATGTCTTATAATATACGATTTTAATTAACTTTTTTTGGATTTACGAAAATAACCAATAAATTCGCAACGCGATTTTCATTTTCGCAACGCTAATTACCTATATAGGTAAACACAACTATTCGCAACTCAGTTTTCAAATTCGCAACGCGATTCTCCAAATTCGCAACGCTAATTACCGATATAGGTAAACATAACTATTCCCAACTCAGTTTTCAAATTCGCAACTCGACTTTTGTTTTCGCTACGTGAATTTCACAACTCGAATTTTTCAATTTCGCAACTAAATTACCGATATAGGTAAATTCGATAGAAAAAATCCGGTAAAAATTTCGAATTCGACAATTTAAAAATTGAGTTGCGAATTTGACAAATTCGTATTGCGAAATATAAAATCTCGCCTCTTAAAGAAAAAATTGTTAGTAAATAATTATTTTGATCTTTGTCAATTTTAAAAGTGAGTAACTAATCACAATTAGTTCAATATGATTAGAAGATTTTTTTAGTTCAATATGATTAGAAGATTTTTTTAGTTCAATATAGTGGTCACACGTATAATTTTGATTAGTAAAAAATCTCGTTGCGAAAACAAAATTCGCTTTGCGAATTTGAAAACTGAGTTGTGAATAGTTGTGTTTACCTATATCGGTAATTAGCGTTGCGAATTTGAAAATCGCGTTGCGAATTTGGAGAACCGCGTCACGAATTTGGAGATATGTGTTGCGAAATTGGAGTTCGCGTTGCGAATTTGTTGGTTTTTTTCGCAAATCCAAAAAAAGTTAGTTAAAATTGTATATTATAAGGCATTTTCGGTCACTTAAGTTATTTTCTCTTTATTTTATTGATTGTCTCACCTTAAAATATTACTTGTACTCATCTCGTATAAATATCGTGTTCTTATTATTTGTATACACACCTTTAAAAATATTTCTAAATCTATCACGATCTGAAAGTAAGAAAAATTTAAAAAATTTATCATTATTTAAGAACATTGTTTATTAATCCTATCAAGAAACTAATGTGAACAAAGAAGCATTAATAAAATCAGAAAACCTGATCCAGTGAAGAAATATGGCTGCATCTCATTAAGAACTGAGCTCACATACATGATACACGTCAGTTTCCCTGCACTGTTATCATACACAAGAAAAGAAAAAAGAATGAAGCTTAGGGGGATCGAATTCTTGAAGTGAAAGAACATTAATAATAATCAGTTGTATCAGCAAACGAGCCTTTTAATTTGATGATGATTCTGTCATGAGGAATTAATGGAATATATGTCGAACGAATCGACTCCTATAAGACTTCTTTTCCTTTCTGCTTGGGCCTTTCGTCTTCCCAAATCCACCACTCCATCCCTGCTTAAACAAAGCAAATGCAAATACTTTGTTAACTCCATAAAGAATGGGTGTGTGTGTATATAAACTTCAAAGTTCTTCCATCAATCTTGCGCTAGCTTATTCAAAGGAAAATAGGCTCATTTAAATGCGGGTCGGGTTTAAATTCTAAAATTTAAAATTTTAGAATTTACATAGTGATTTCGTTGGTAAAAAGAGTGTTGATCTCTTAGAAATCTCGGGTTCGAACAGCAACATCTGCAGGATGTATATATTATCAATAGTTAAGAAAGATCCTGAACATAGGCTTAAATGCACCGTTACCCCCTAAAATATACAATTTGTACAGAATTGTCTCATAAAGTATTTTTCGGGATGTTTTGCCCCCTAAAGTATAAAATGTTACTCCATTTGTCCCTAAATGTTAATTATGTTAGAACCACATCACCATTTAATTTTAATTTATTTTATGTGAATAAATAAAAATCAATTAAAAAATAAAATCATATAATATGTCAAAAATACCCCTCCCTTCTCCTACTCCACCGTCCACCCTCCCAACACCACCACCCTGTCCACACTCCCGACAAATACTTTAGGGGGCAACTCTATAAAAGGAAGCGTTGATCTCTTAAAGATCTCAGATTCAAGCAGCCGCATCTGCAAGATTTATACGTTATCAATAGCTAAGAAAGATCTTGAACATACACTAACTTGTAATTACCTTGTATTATTCAAAAAAAAAAAAACTTTCAAAACTTTAACCCTACTTAATTGAACCCATATTAAAATTTGATCCGTATGTTATAACAGGTTCCACATCGTATATAACTTTTGAAGGTTTAGTTAAAAATATTTTTAAAATTTAGGGTTCATTACCTTCTTCTTGAAGTTTTTAGCAACCATCTTTTGGTCATCCTTTATTTCCTCTGGGGTACTATCACCTTCAGTAATTCCGTCGTCGAGCTGAGATGGTACGCAATATACCCTGAAACTAGGCGACCGCAAGTACGAAATTCCATCGTCTCCGTCGTATAAATCCTCCTCATTACTGCTTTCCTTATCAGTGCAGGCCTCTTCTCTCGACGAGTGGAACCTATCGCGTTCGTCCGACCGATGCGAGGCGTCACCTCCTTTGGGGTTGTCGAACTTCGAGATACCACAACCCATTAAAGCAAGGGTTTAATTCAAGCTCAGGTGGATAGAGGGAAAGTGTCCAGGGCCTGTCATGTTAAATAGAAGAAACTGAAGTTTGCATGAAAAAAAAGAAGATAGAAGATGAAACTAGAGATCCAACGAGAATTGTGGGATTGAATTGCATATTTGGGGTTTGACAACTTGATCATCTTATTGACTGCTAAATTAATCGTAACCAATTTCATGTTAACATGTTTCTTTTTTTCCCCTTCTTTAGTTGAAGATTTTTACAGCAGGCTTGGCCTAACACTGTTTGATTACTTGCATTAGGCTATCTTATGTTTTCTAGATACGAGGGTTGTTGGCTTAATTGCAAGGTATCCAACGGAATGGAACCGCAAGCCAGCTCCACACCACATCTACTAATTTTTAGGGTAAACTATAAAATGTTACAAATATAACAATTCGAGACGAAGAAGAAAAAATTAGAAAAATATTTTATTAATAAATAAAAAATACAGTTTAAAGAAAGTAACCCAGAATTTCGACAAAATAATGAACTTGAAACTAGTTGAGGCCTATAACTATATAGTTTCTTTAAGATAAATTTTCGATCACTTTTTAGTGCTCGAGATCTTTGGTCTTCTGTCTCCAAGGATACAACAACGAGATAATAAATAAACTATATCTTGCCAGAGGCTATCACCGAAATTTATATAGTTTTTGAGTTGTGTTTAACCTAGTAGGTTTACATGGTATTTATAGAGTTTCTCATGGGAGAACAATTAGAAAATATCTGAAAAGTAAGATCATTAATGAGTATCCTAATAAATTCGGAAATAATCAATTAATAAAAATATAATTTGAAAAGTAATGTCTTTAATGAGTATCTGAATAAATTCAAAAATAATCTATTAATACCGTATTTATCCGAATATACAAATTTTGTTCTTTATTAAAAATAAATAAATCAAACCTAATATATCCCCACACCTTTCCTTCCTTGGTGTCGTGTTTTAACAAGGAAGACGCAATGAGATTATGATTGTTAAACCAACGGCCCAAGGAACTTTGGTCGGCAGTTATGTAGCAGTCGAACGCAGCTTAACTTCTTATACTTCCCTTGTACCAAATTGGTTTCTTCATATCCACGTAAATCACAGAGAAGAAAACAATATTTTTAGTCACCCTTGCATCATTCCATTAGCGACCACTTATCCTTGTTCAACTTACTCATGCAAATGAAATCTATTTAGTATGGAATAATATACGATTAAAACTTTAAAATATTTTAAAGTTTAAATTAAAATTTTGGGGTAACTTCAAATTTTAAAATATTTTAAATTAAAATTTTCAAAAATTTTAAAGGGCTTAATTTATATTTTTTCAAAAAATATTAGAGTATAACTAAATTTTTTGAAATTTTGAGAGGTTTTTATATATATGGTTTTATTTCAATGTATTTAGGGTGCGTTTGGTTCACGGAATATAAGATTACCAGTGGTAATAAAAGATTATCAGGGAATAGGATTACTTGGAATGTTGTATTTTGTGTTTGGTTGATTTAGAGGATTGTAAGATTACCGTGTTTGGTTAAAAGAATAAAATATTATTAGAATGTAGATTTGATCAAATTGTCCTTATTATATAGTTGTTTTTTTAACAAGTTGGAAAATATTTATATATTTTATTTAAAAAGTTTAAATTCATAAAATTTATATAATTTTTTTACAAAATTGAAAATATAAAAAGGTTTAATGAAAGGGTAAAATTTTATTTTAACCCCTGAACTTCATATAAAATTTTAATTAGACTTTTTTGTAAATCTAAAATAGTTTATGGATAAATTTGTAATTTAACTTTCGTAGAATTTTTATTATTCAATGACAAAAGAATGATATTTTTGAAAAAAAAAATTAAGGGCATTTTAGTCCAAAACGCCGGTAATCCAACAATACCTAAGGAAAGGGGGTAATGACATTCCCGGTAATATACCCCAAAAAATCCACTATTGATAATAAAACATTACCGGAAATGAGATTCCCAACCAACCAAATGGGAGAATGTGGATTCCATTCCCATGATAATCTTATATTCTCCGAATCAAACAACCCCAATAATCATCATCTCAGAGTTGTCCTTTGTATATTACATGTGAGTTGTCATTGACTCGGCACAAGCATCGGGTCCTACTAAGGTTTCGTTTGGAAATATTTCTTCAAATGAACTTTTTTAATGGAAAATCACTGTTTTTCTAACTTTTTGGTTTGAGTAAATAATAACGTTTTAAACTGAATTTTGGACCGAAAGCACTTTCATAAATATTCTCAAATCACCCCTAAAGATGATGGGCCTTGTAGAAGAGCAGATTGCACGCTTGTGATCATCTTTGACGAGGTATTTCATCATATCATCAACTAACCCACCCATTTTTCTGTTTATCATCTTGTAATATTCCCTTTAGTTTTGCCCTTTTTATGGATCTTTTTCACTTGGATATTTGATGGGATAACCTGTGGAGGCAGAGTTTGAGGTTTGGTAAAATAACTAGAATTATTTTGATGTTATTTGCTCCATTAACTATCTTTCTACACGATTATAAATTGGGATGCAGTTTATGGTAATTGTAGCGGTAAATTACACTAGATACTATTAAATTTTAGACGAACAATTTATACTACTAAACTTTTAATAGTTATAATTATAATATTAAATTTTAGTTGACTTTAATTATAACATTGGACCGTTAAAATCCAAATAATTTGATGGTATGAACATAACAACATCATTTTGATCATGTGGTTATTGATGCCTAAAATTGTGTTGTTTTTAGGTACTAAACTTTAGTGATATATCAATTTCACCACTAAACTTTTAAATAATTAGTTTTTTTGGTATTGTACTTTTTATTTGTCATCATTGACATTGAATTATTGCCGGTCATTGGTTGCTTTTCACTACAATATTAGTATTAAAATGTTTGAATTTCACTCATTTTTTTCCTCATGGGATTAGTTTTTCACGAAACCCACATAAAATCGATAAAATTAAACAAACAAAAAAACTATTCTCATTTTTAGAGACTTTCTTTGATTTGAGGAGTTTAGGGTGTTTGTTCGAAAACTCGAACATTAAGAAGCATTATTTCGAGAAGACAAACAACAGACCGACACATTCCTAAAGTTCAGTGCCTAAAACGATGTCATTTTGAAATCAATAGTCAGATCAAAACGATGTCGGTTTAGCTATGTCGTCAAAGTGACAAAAGAATCTATCCATATCATTTGTCATTAAAATTTAACACTACTCCCGGAGGTATAATTGAAGTCAAAACCAAAATTTAATTATAATTGAAACAATTAAATCGAAGTAGTATAAATGATTCATCACCTAAGATTTAGTGGTATCTAGTATAATTTAACTGAAGCAAGCACACAGTTAAATGATATCTGATTCAAACTCCACTGATACAGGTTTTTATTACTGCTTTCTCATACAACAAACAACTCGAATAGCTAGTAATTAAACCACTGTTTTCATCTTCCTCATCTAATCCATGGGATGAACTTGGTGAAGTAGGTTGTGGAGGAGGACCAAAGACAGACCTGTCTTCCACTGTAAAATCAATACAACTTGCCATGTTCACTGCACCAGATGTCTTGACTCCTTGGTTTTTACGTCTTTTGTTTCTCTTCTTCTGAAACACTCGGAAAACTAACCAATCTCCAATGGACATCTGCAAATATGGGGGGAAAACCCATAGTTAAGATGATGATTTTAATCAAAATATTTTGATACTGCTAGCTACTTGTGTTTGTTGTATTACCTGAGTTGAATCAAGAGTTGCAACCGAGTCAACAAGGCGATACTGGTGCAACACCCAACGAGTCTCGGTCCCATCAGAACACTCGCTTTCACTGAAAATCAGAGTTTTCCTCATCCCGATTACTTCATTGGTTCCAGAAGCTAAAATCGGCTTCTCTTTGCCTACGGGTTTCCAGTACCCAGAACCAGCTATTCTCTTGCGTTTTTTGCTACTGCCATTATCACCATCCCTGGTGCTGAAAAAATACTTATTTTCTTTCGAATCACCTGAAAAACAAGAAAACAAAGCTGGGTTTCGAAGGAAAATTGAAAGTGTTTTGAGGAACTAATGGTGAACAAACCTGAGAAGCTCCGAGGATCAGTGTGGAGAACATTGAACTCGGGAATGACAGAAGCAGGTAACGGGAGATACAAAGCTTTTCTCTTCAAGTAATGAACCACAAGCTCTTCATCTGTCGGATGGAATCTGAAGCCAATTGGCATTTTGATCCCTCCATTCACAACAAAGTTTCCACTTTCCATACTTGAAAAACAAAAATACTAAGACTTATTGAGATTGCTTGAGATTGCTTAGCTCAAATCAAGCAAAGGAATCATGTGAAAGAGAAGAAACAAAAGACCATGTGTGGGTTTAATGTGCTTATAGACACAGATAGGTTCCTTTATATACTGGGAAAACCAAAACCAATTGTTTTCTTTACGTCGAGGGGTGGCTTCTTAGACAAACGTGTAAGAATAAATTGAGACTGTTTTTGGTCTATGAACTCATGTCCCCCCTCGTGGTCCCCTTTTCTTCTACTAGAGTTAAAGTTTAATGACAAATAGTTAAGAATTATCTTTAAACAAATATTGTCTTGTATTTATCTAATTTATAAAAAAATTAGTTATCACAAGCAATAAATGGAGTAATTAAATTGTTTATTTGAAATATAAAAATCTAATTATAAACTCGCTTATAATACAGTGAGTTATAGTGTAATTTACCCTTCTCATGAATAGCTAAATGAATATCTTATTTTCATGGGTCCAAATTAGTTTTGGATTATGCATTTTTGTATTGGCAATCACATTTTGTGTTCAACTTGGTGCGACCAAAACTAGCATGGTTGTCGCTTACCCCATGTGAATCCTAAATTATCCCATGCAAGGCAATTGAGAACTAGTAGTGACCGGTTCCCGTAGCCTTCCCACATCGGAACCAAATACCGTGTCAACATTTATGACCTAGTTTGGACAGTCTACTATCTTACCTTCCCTTACCCCATACATATGAAAAAAAAGGGACAGCCAATTTTTGGACAGTGGCGGATGCATGTAGAATCCAATGTCTACACTGGAATTCGAATTTTTTATGTTATTTGTTCATTATATTAAAAGTGTTTCATCCTAAATTTTATTTGTGTTCATCTCATACGAAATTTTTTTGTTATTACTACATATTATATTCGTCTAAAAAGTATTTCTCGATCTGCTACTAAATTTGGAAGGTTTAGCGTACCTGGTTAGTCATGTTATAATTAACTCATAATCTCCACTAAAATACTTCCAATTAATGATACGTTAGACACTTGTCAGAAAATTCCTTATATATATATTCACTAAGTAGTGTTAGTGCTAAAATAAATTCTTGTTTTTCTTAAAATTTCAGGTTTAAATAATTATGTTTGTAAAGTGTTTGAACATTGTCAACGACTAAAAAAAAGATTGTGAATAGATACTACTAGAGATGGACTGAAGGGTGGAGGCTGTCGCCACTCTAAATATTTAAAATTATTAAATATTTTATATTTTTCTATGTATTTTCCATTGAAATTCTGTTTTCGTCCCCTGAAATTTTATAAGATAAAATTCAGCCTCTTGGAGTTTTAAAAGTTCAAGTTTGCCCCCAACACAAAATCTAGGTTCCGTCCATAGATACTATATTATAATCCTCCAAAACTATTAAAAAAATCATATATATATATATATATATATATATATATATATATATATATATATATATATATATATATATATATATTGGTTTATTTGTAAATTCATGAAGATCGAGCCACCCAATTTTGCATTTTCAAAAGAAGAGTTTGCATTTCCAAAAACGACCAAGAACCCATTTCAAAACAAAGCAAGATTAGCAGTCATCCATCCCCAAGAACAAGTCAAATTAATGACTTAAATTATAATGGCAATATTGATGAGGATAATTATAAAATCACACCATAAATATGGTCCCATATGTCTTTTATTTGATTTTTTTCTTCTTCTTTGTGACCTTGAAATTCAACTTTTTGTAGAGCACAAGACGTGTAGATGCGTGTTTGAACACATATTTTTCAATGAGAATTGGCCATGTTTGTGGACACAATCACAGACATAGAGAGGGACTCTTTCTGTCCTATATTATAGGCTATATATCCTTGAAGTAGACAAATTGGTCAAGCGATTAGGAATAATACAATATAATATATATGAATTATTATGTGTCAAGTTCTTTCACATTATTGTCACTATAATAGTTTTCTTTATATATATATATATATATATATATATATATATGTATGATTTTATTCAAAAGTGTAAATTTTTAAAAAAGTTATAATAGAAATTTCAAGATTTGAAATTATAAAATGTTGTACTCCTGAAATTACTTTTTTATAGCTAAAGTTTTAAAATTTGATCACTAATAAAATAAAATAAATTATATGAGAATTTAAAATTTTCAAAAAATATTTTATATTTTTAACATTCTCCTCAGCCCATTCCTAATCTTATTTATTCTTTTCTAATACTCCAAAGAAACATTTTCCTTATAAGTAATTTGCCCCCTTTATAAAAAAAAATGTCCCCTCGCTTGCTTATACAAAAATAATGTTGCAATCATAAATAGGGATAGGCATGGGACTCGATTTTTTTAAAGATTATGTTCGGGTTAGGTTAGATTCGGGTTTAGGTGAAAAATATCCGATCCGACCAGTCCCAAAAAAATATATAATTTTACCTTATATATGTAAGAATAATTACAATAATAACCCTCTATATATTATTTTTTCAATTAAATCATTGTTTTTATTGAATAAAAATAATATTTTTTATTATTTCGGGTTGAGTCGGATTCAAATTTTATCTTAAAAAGTCGGGCCAGATTTGAGTCGGGTGGAGGTATATATTTTCTGAGTCGATCGAGTAAAGTGAAGGATGTACAATTTTCGAGTCGGGTCTGATTGGCCGAAACCCGACCCATGCCCATCCCTAATAATAAAGATGCATGAATGTTTGCTCTTCATTTTCTCAAAACGAGTCCTTTCATTTCATTTCATTTCTTATATATATATATATATATATATATATATATATATATATATATATATATATATATAATATTAATAATTTCCTCCTTTAATTAATTGTATCAGTCCATGTTCATGTACTGTGCAATTATTTTATTAAATTTAAATATTATACATCAATTAATAATTGGTAAATGTATGTTATCAGAAGACAACTGAAATATTTATGTAGAAAGAAAAATATTTAGATATTACACTAAAACTACATGCAGAGGTGAATAATTAGTCGAATGAGTTGGAAAATATAAAAAATGAACTTAATCAATTATATTTTCCTTTAAACCTAAATTAAATCGACTTTGAAATAAAATTAATTATACCGAACTAACTTTTTTTCATTAATTTAAGAATTTTTTAGATTCAAGTGGAATCAATTATATATCACTCCACCCGTGACATAGACAGTGTTTTTTCTTTAAATTCATATTAACTTTTTAGAATAAAAAATATATTTTATTGAAATCGTCATGCCAACGTGATAAATTTCAAGTCATTATAGTAAATGTCGTAAATCCCTAAATAGTTAACCAACTTACGGTATTGGGTTAAATAATTAGCCCGATTAATTACTTATTTTATTGAGTGTAATCATCTTAAAATTTTATTGCTATACATCCCACATAAAAATCATTTTATCAATATATATATATATATTCACTTTCAAAAATATTTTTAAATCTATCAGTGAATTAGAGTACATATTCTTTAAGATGACCAAAAATATTTGTGATAACAAACAATGAATAATAATTCATATTCAATCCGATATAATAAATCTTTGATTTTAATCTTAGAACTTAATGATTAATTCAGATTAATGATGCAAATTTTCATTATCGAAAACAATCTATATGACCATTAAAGAGACTTTTGGTATAACCATCGGTGGTTGAAATTTGACCATGAAATAATCGTCGTCGCTATCCTTAATGTTTATTATGAGTTATTCGAGTTTGATTCAGTTAAAGTTTAGTCAACACTCAAATTGAAATGATTCGATTTGAGCTCGAATTCGACTCGAGTTCTTAATGAGCCAAAGCTAGTTACTTGATATCCGTCTCAAAAAGTTTGCAAGCAACTCGAAAAAATAATATATTAAAATTTATTTTTTAAATTAAATTATTAATAATATAAACATTTAGAATTTAAAAAAACATTTTAAGATTTTCATGGGTTTAAGATTCATTTTCGAGTTTGAATCGAGCCCGAGTTTAAGCTTCAATCGAGCTAAGTATGAAAATATTTCGAGTTCAAGTTTTTTTAAAGTTCAAATCAACTTTCAATTTTTAATTTTGAGTTCGAGCCGAGTTTGATAATTTTAAGATTATGAAATTTTAAGTTAAATTCAACTTTAAACTATTTGGGTCGATTTTGAGTTGGATTGAACAAAATTCTCCCCTTTTAATGGTTGAATGACATTAGGGGAATTTTTAGTTTATATTTTTTAATTTTACTAAAATTAATCTTTATTAAATATTTTAATAAACAATATGTTTAAAAATATTTAACTCAATATTTTTTTATTAAATTTAATTATTTAAAATATTTAAAGTAAATATGATGAATTTTTAAATGACTACAACAAAAATAAGGCTTAATTATAAGATAAGTACTTAAAAAATAGCAAAAATTAGCTGACCCTATTCCCATATGTAATGGGATAAGGGGAGGTAGGATAGTAGGCTGCCCTCAACGCCAGATTGAGAGCAACTTCCGTGGGTGACCTCCAATTATGAATTGCCCACCTTGGGACCCGATCCCACGACCACAAGGTTAAGAACTTTGCGCTCTACCAACTGAGCTGGACATACAATTCTCCTTAAACAATAGTGTTTTTCACAAATAGTGCCTAAACTTTCTTTTGAATGATCCAGACGCCTAACATTATAAACGTTATCACTTTAGGTGTTTAGGTCGTAATTGTTGTTAGTTTTCTTCATTAAGTGACATGTATTGCATTCTTATAATTTTATTTTTTAATTAAAATTCTTATATTTATTAAAAAAAACCCTAATTTCTCTTAAATTAAAATTTACAAATCCCTAAAAATTCATAATCTATAATCCTAACCCACTATCGTCACCCTTGTCGGCCACTACTACAACCACCGATGTAGTCCTTGCCATCTTCCTAGTCATACATCGCCATAGTTACCGCTGATTGGCCGTTGAGATCACGTCGGATCGTGATTTTCAACCTAGGGTTCATGGGGTGCAAAAATCGATTGATATCGATTTCATAGGGTTATTGATCGTTAGGGGATGTGAGGTCGGGTGGACCTTCGTCGACGGCAAAGAATTGTG